TTACTCACTCTCCCGCCCGCACTCACTCACTCACTCACTCACTCTCCAGCCCGCCCGCCCGCATTCACTCACTCACTCACTCTCCCGCCCGCCCGCCCGCACTCACTCACTCACTCACTCACTCTCCCGCCCGCACTCACTCACTCACTCACTCACTCACTCACTCACTCACTCACTCACTCACTCACTCACTCACTCTCCCGTCCGCCCGCCCGCACTCACTCACTCACTCACTCATCCAACCCACTCAGGTCCGCGCCAAGGCCCCTGGTTCCATCACGTGGTGGCGCCGATTGCGGCTGGAGGACACCTGCCTCCCGGAGCTGGCGGCCTTCATGCCCGTACCCGGCCTCACGACATTCATCGCCACCTTCTACATGCGGTACGGCGACGGACCGCTGCCGCCACGCGACTTTGCCGGCATGGACCGAGTCATGGCGACCCTTGGGTCGGCGCAGGAGGTCCGGCTGTGGCTGGATATTGACTGTGACATCTGGCCGGGGCTGGCGCAGATCCTGGGTCGGCTACCGGGGCTAACGGAGGTCGTCGTACGGGCGTTTCACCCTAATCCCCTGAAGGCGCGGGACCTGGCGGCTCTGGCGGCCGCCGCCACGCGGCTGCAGTACCTGGACTTGAACAACTCGGCCATCGACGACCTGGGTCTGCTGCCTCTGGGGGACCTGCAGCAGCTGTGCAAGGTACAACGGATGGAGAGGAAGAAAGGGGAAAGAAGACTGGGCGGCGGGGATTTGTTCGTGTGTGTGTGTGTGTGTGTTTGTGGTGTAATGTGTAATGTGGTGAAAAGAGGAGCTGGAGGACGGGGCACTACCCGAATTTGTGTATTCATATCTACCAACAATGTCACGCCGTCAGGCCACTACCCGAATTTGTCACGACGACGGCGTCGACGTGCTCCGTTGTACATCGCGACAGACATCGCGAACTGACGCATGCCGACAATTGCGCTTTGTGTGTGCGCTGTCCGCTGCATGTGTCCGTACGCAGGTGTGTTTGGGTCTGGCGGCGCGTGAGGGGCAGGAGGGTCACACCCCGGAGGCGGTCAAGTGGCTGGCGCAGCGGATGGCGGGGCGACGGCGGCCCGCACTCATCGTGGCGCCGCACCTGCTGGATTGCGAGTTGGAGCAGCTGGAGGAGTGGCAGGCAAAGGACCCGGTGATCCGCGGGTCAGTCACAGTGGCGGAGGCGTTGCCGGATTTGGAGCTGCCACTGCCCGGTGACCCGGCGGTGTTCGCTGGGCCGTTCTTCCGCGGCGGTGGTGGTGGTGGTGGTGGTGGTGGTGGTGGTGGTGGTGGCAGTCCGGCGGGGGGACGAGCGCGGGGGGACGGCGATGGGGACGGAGCTGGCGGGCGGCACTCGGGGTCTGCCGGGGGGCCTCTGGGTGTGGGGGGGTTGAGCGGCGGCAACAAGTACAGCTTGGTTGATCCGGATGATCCGCTGGTGATGCTGAGCAACTGTGTCAATGAATTTTTCCGCAGGACGGATCTGTGACGTTTGTGGTGTGACCTGCGGCTGAGGTGTGATATGCGGAGATGCGGTTCGTGATTTCCGTTTCGAGAGTTATTTCAGTGCGATGCGCACTTCGCTGTGGCAGAGAGTCATCTGAGTGACTTTTCGTGCAAGGTTCTTGTAACACTGATATGTGCTTATGTCCGCGTCTATCGTATGTAGACAATTGCAGCATAAGGCCGTGTTGTGGGGAAAGTTCACGAGGGACACTCTGCGGAGTAAGGCAACAGCAAGGAATAAGTCTTTAAAAACCTTAATAGACCACGGGCTTGGCTACAGCAACGGGCCTCAACCGACCAGTCAGGCATCCGCCCTGGGATCGAAGGCCCACCTGCAACTGCGAGAGCGTGCGGAGCTGTATGTATGTAAGTTAGCACACACGCTATGGCGCTATTACCAAGCCGCTTCATCCCGTGCCACAGAGGTTAAGGGGGTGTATGCATGTCATCCCCACAGGCTGTCGGAGGTTGATCAGCGCGCTCCGAGGCTGATGCTGTACCGAGCGCCTTGGGCACGGCGCACGGCGGGCCCGTGGCTATCATGGTGACAGCGAGAGGGCCCGTGCCACTGCCAGTGAGAGGCCTGTACACATCCTACGCGCACGTAAACTGCACCACTGCCTACATTCAGCCTCTTCACTGCAATAGGTGCAAGGTGCACCCTATCAATTGGTATCTTTTAATGAATTGGGCACGATAATCGACAACAACGTCGCGCCGGGGGACGGTTTACCATGCACTCCTCACACATCAACGAACAAGCGAGCGCGAAATAAAGGCACCACCTAGGGTTTCCACAGTCACCATATTCGGGAAGCACTTGCTAGGTATTGGGCGTGCCCACAAAAGCATCCCGTTCAGTTCCCGCTGGCCTCTGGGCCCTCCCTAGCTCCCTTGAGGACTGCTAATTCCATCAAGAAGTAGTCGGTGCCCACCCAGGCCAGCTCGGCACGGCTTGGCTCGACGACCTGACGCCCGAGGAAAGATTCTCGAGATCTTACTACGGGACTTACTAGCGGCCGGCGCTGCGTCGGCTCAACATCCTCAGGGAAGCCGCTTCCACGAGACACACAGCGTCGCAGCTACATTTCCCCCTTCGCACACACACAAATATGGACAAAAATATGGACACACAAAGGACGATGCCAGATGCCAGTTACCATTCACGGCTCACAGCTAATTCATGCACCTGCCTAAAACACACCGGACACGATACCCCACATCGTGCAGAACACGGGGCATTAGGGAAAGGGGACGGCAGGAGGACTGCGGAACACTTTCACACAGCTTAACTACCCATTTGTAGCGAGGAAAAAAGATTAAGTAGCAAGAAAACGAAAAAAAGCCTAACACCATCACATAAGCCTACACAGCACGTCTGCATGTGCCGGTGCTCACGCACGGATTTCCCCCTCCTGCCATTTAAACCATCAGGCGCACTCCGCTACCGCCGCCTGCAAGTACGATACCCAGTCACGCATATTCCTTGCAATTCCTATGCAGCGTTGACGGTTGACTGTAGCTACTCCGCAACATATAGATAAAAAGCTCTTGCGTCCCCGTCGCCATGACCGCCGGACGGATATACAACCTGAGTCATTAGAAAAACATATCCCTGGGAATAAATGTACAAGCGACTTGAAACAATATGAACGAAACGTCGGGGGGTATCGAATATCCACCATCACACGCATACCTCCTCCTGAGGTTACCACCCTACGAGCAGTAGCAACCTCCGTGGCCTGTATCCCCACGCGCATCAAAGACTAATGTTTACGTAGTAAAGCCTGAGTATTCCAGAGTAAGCAGATATGCACGCAGGCGACAATGATAACGTAACTCTGGATATTGGATGAAGGCAAGCCGCAAGCAGCAGGGGCGAAGCGCTGCACACTTCCCGCCTATTCCAAGAAGGAAACATTCTTTCCGCACATCGCCCAAGCATCGCAAAAAAGCTGTTACTACGGCCCCCACGTCAATATAGCATTTGAGAAGCACAGATAGAAAGGAGCCCTTATAGAAAGAAGCCCTTACTTCGAACGCAAACCCTAACACGCAGCAAACCCCTGCTGGTGGACCGCCGCAACCTACCACAACGACATATGCCCGGGGACACCTTACACGACCCGCACCGCGCCTCCAGATGACCAAGCGCGTTGAGGAGGCCTCCCTCCCCAACCACATATGAACAACATGGCAAGACCAGCAGCAGCAGCACACCGTCAAAAAAACATCATCCCACCAAGATCCCACCATTCCCACGGACCTGGCCGGGCTGCGCAGCCATGTACCGGGGGACCGAACCAGTGGTGTTATAACATAATCCAGACTTATATAATGACCTGGTAAGGGGCCCCCCGTTCGCTGACCCAGCTATATATCGCACGCGCACACGTCGCAAATAATCACCAGAAGGCACGAATCAGCCGCATGTATGTGAACATACGCAAAGCTACTATGGACAAGGCCGAAGCCAAGGAATGCAAGTCAGCCTTCAGTGCCTAAACCTATCTTCTTCGGCTTGCATACATACATACATACATACATACATACATACATACATACATACATGAGCCGCACCCACACCCTGCTATGGGACCCTACGGGGTCTCTGACTTCACTGTACCATTGTAATCGCCTTTCTTAAGGAATCTTCAGTGCCAATATCGCTATCCACATATTGCGGCTCGGACTGGTTATAGCAGAGCCTTGCACAGCACGAGCACACTCTGGTGTATGCGCCACGGGGCATGCGCTCAGCCACATATACGGAAACCACTTCAATAATCCAGCCGGAGCCGGACATTAACTTAGTCAAACTAAGGACGTTGGGTGTGCTCCAACATTAGGGCAATCTAAAAACCTGTTGAACACACTCTCAAAACCTAACAAGCCCTGCACGACTACGCCGCATTTTGGCATCACTCGTGCTGCACCTGGCGCCCCTGACTGTCCGCAGGGACATCGCTCTGCTGAACCACAACAACCGCGGGCCGGTCCTGGTATTGGTACTGCTCTTGCGGTCGCTGGTACGGCTGCTGAAATTGCTCCTGGTACGGCTGCGGGTAAGCCTGCTGAGGATTCTTCAGCAGCGGCACCTTGTCCACGTCAGCGTAGATCCCCTCGCCGTACTTCGGCTGAACGCCGTACGTGGCGGCAGTGAGCTCGATGCCTGGTCCCCCCGCCGGCGCCGCAACCGGCTGCTGAGGCGCGTCCGAGGACAGAACTCCTGCTGCGCCCGTGAAGCCACCCCCGCTCGCAGCGAGCGCCCGCTGCACCCGTAGCAGCAGCGCCCTCTCGCGCCGGGCCTGGGCGAAGTCGGCTGTGGAGTTCATAAGAAGGAACGAGGCACCCACCCACACGAGAAAGCAGCCCACCGCCACCGCCACCGTGGCGCTCGAGGCCTTGACCGCGTAGGCATATGCAGACGCCATCACGCCCGCACCGCAGATGCACGCCTCTCTCTGCAGAGAGCGACAGGGAACGTCGAGGGAACAGATAAAACAGCTCTTGAAGGCCGGGGCATGGTTCAGATAAAACCGCTCTTCAAGTCGCAGGGTAAACAGCTCTTTGAAGGCAGACGCCCTATATGGAAAAGGGAAACGAGACAAAGAAGGGATCGTACTTACGTATGTACCCTCGCGTATCAATTGATAAGTCACCAGGAAGGTGTAACGAGACCACCTGAAAAGCCTGCTTCAACCTCACAGATCAGGCATACGCAGGCAAGACATGTCGGACTTCGCTGCATACGCAAGTGCCTTTGGGATATTTGACCATCCGGACCCCCACAAACAGTAGGTAGGGGGTGGTCTCATCCCACCCCTACAAACGGAGGGGGGGCGGGAAGAAGGGCACGGCGATGGCGAAAGGATGGATGAGGCGCATTCCGAAACGCAGGCAAGCGAGCAGAACAATAGCACATTTCTTGCAATGTCTTTATAATCGCTCCTCATCACCACAAGTACAGTCCAGCCTTTAGGCCCCAACTCCAACCCCCGATGTCGGCTCGGGGCCCCATCGCCGCGATTTTGCCACAGGCCGAGGTAGCACACTATAACCCAGTTTTGGCTACACGCCGAGACACGTATGGGCCTACTTTTCAGCTTAGGCCTGGGAACCAGACCCCAGTGTGGAAACCTCCGTCCCAGCTCAGATCCGGATCCAGATCCTTAGATCCGGATCCAAATCCTTAGATCCGGATCCAAATCCTTCAATTCCAAACCTACCCCGATGAAGTAGGCAGCAATATCCAAGTCGAGGCAGTTCGGAGGGCAGGTGTTTGTGTCGATGTAGTCGGGCAAAGGACCTAGCTGGGCTTCCAGGATGGCCTTGGTAACGTTGTGGTACTCGATGCCCCAAGATACGAAATCATCGGCTGTTTCGACGATCACATCCAGCACACTTGTCACGACGAACATTAATCCGAACCTGAAGCGACCAGTTGCCGCAGGAGAGCGGGAAAGCAGTGGCAACCCGCAATTGGGCAATCGGACGAAGGACAACGAACGGGGGTATAGAAAACGAAAACATGCCAATACGAATTTGGGTGTCCGGACTGCAGAGCGACGACCAGGAACCGCAGTGGGCCGTGGCGAGACTTGGTGAGACTTGGGAGGCAAGAGGAGTGGGACACGTGCGAGAACCTCCTCCCCCTCCTCTCCGATACACACCACGGCTTATTGACACGGGTGATAATGTGCAGGTCCTGCAAATGCTCTAACTGCTGAAGCGAGTACCTGTCCAAGCGAGTACCGGGAAGTCACGGATGACAGCAGGCGGACCCACCCGCCCCTCTCACCACAGTATGCATACGAAGAAGACGAACATGAGCAGTACCAAGACCATCCACCAGAGTACCGTGACGACTGCGGAGAATCCGAGCCAGAAACGCGACCCGCGGGTCGGTGCGCCTGCGGAGTCGGACGGACATGCATCAAGCGCAACAGCATGATAACAACACTACCTAAAGCAAGGTGAGCGGCAAGGTCAAGCTAAGATCGCACGTGGCACAGACGCAGATGCCTTGGGCGCGTGGAAACAACGCGCGCCAAACGTCGACCATTCCACACAATCACATGCTGTTCTGAAAGCCGCTACTTTGAGCCGCGTCGCCGTCCCTCTTGACGCACCCCGTTTATCGACTGCGTACTCGGTGCAGGACCTGCCACTGCTCATGGCCAGCATACCCGCGGCCAGGACACAGCAACCGGCAATGATAAGGACCGCAACCACCTGAGCGGTGTTTAGTTGCAGTTCAAAATTGATTCGCAGGGCGTCCACCATAAGATTCATGTTTTTCATGGCAGCGGACGTGCCAACACCCCTGCGTGGAGTGTCGAAGCGCGTGGATACGGGTTTGGTGTATCCACAAGGCACGTCACATGAGTGGAGAGTGAGAAGTAAAAAGGGGGCTTTGTAATGCTAGGAGCGAAGCGGCACAGGAACGGGGTAGGCGTGTCGTAAGGAATGAGAGGAACGGGTATCAGTGTTGGTTACACATGCGTGCAGATTTTACGGAGTTTAAGAGCCGTGGGCCTGGTTAAACATTTCCTAACGAGCCCCAACCGAAACTCAGCCTACAAACCCATTTTCTAGCAAAGAAGTGCTTTCATGCCAAACGGCAGTGAGATACCATCGCGGTCATTCTGTTCCAATAACAGTCTGCTCGCCGCTTAGCACGCTATTTAGCGCACTGATGCCTCAGCCCAAGCTTCCCAAGCTGCTTACCAGGTGATTGTCCCCGCAAGCACAAGCAAAAACGAGATCAGCGACAGCCATGGCACATAGTAAACACAGTCCCTCTTCTGGGAAAACGGAGACGTATAATCGGAAAACATTTTTCCCTTCAAAAGGATATCAATAAAATGGGATCTAACGATTTAGTCCTTGAAGTAGCATATCCCTGTAATACTAGGATTATAGCAAAAGCCTCGCAAGAAAAGCCTACGCCATTTGCTGGTCCCGTAAGTGCCGTACCGTACATTTGAACGGAACCACAACCGCCGCAGCCTTCTATGTGCAGTGCGTGCCATGTGCCGCAAGCAAGGTTCCGCCGACGACCACGATAACGCTTTTTGTGCCCTGTGCGCCTGGTGCGCACTTGCGACTCCGCGATCTGACGCAAAAACGGATATGCAACATTTTGAACAGTCACGTCTCAGCGACCTGACATTGCGATTTCAGCATAATGCAATGAAATTTATGCGCTGTGTGCTATATCATACCACCCAGTGATCGCATCGCGCAGGGCTGGGTTCTCTCGAGGTACGAGGCCGGGGTCCTTGTGCTGCGGGACGTGGTGAATAAGGGCGTTGAGAGTCAGCCGCCTTGGTAGAGCAGTAAGGAGGGCCCGCCGATCTTGCTACCATCCTCCCCTGCGGTTCTTCGGAGGCCTAGTCACCGGGTGTCGTGGCAGGATCTCCCCGTTCGCGCACTTTTTCAGTTGGCCCCAGCGCTGTGCATGGATAGGTGCGGTGTTACCCCCTCTGCGGTTTATACCTCCCTTGGACTAGCCCAGGAAAGGAGAGGCGGGGTTGGGAAGTGGTCTCAGGAGACTGTTGGACGTCTTATGGTGTGCGCTCTTTCTGTTTGAGACTTATTGGAGCTTATTGGACCTCTCCAGTCCGGGATGACTCGTCGGGCTCCGGTTGCGCAGGTCCTGAACGCATGCTCTTTGAGGTTGTTCCTGTACTTTCTGCCCGTAGGAAGAACTCCCCGGGTGCGACTTTGTTTCTGTTAGGTGACCAGCGGACCTAGAGCCCGTTTAGCTGCAGCGCTGCCCCCCGGTAGAGAACGCTGCTAAGTGCCTGCCGTCGTATCTCGCGCGTGGGCGGAATGTGCGAGATTAACCAGCCGCGTGCGCCTGGGGGCCCCGCGCTGTGTTTCGGCCCTGGGCCCCCGACTTTTAAGCCCACAGTGTAATGAACGTCATACATACATACACATACATACATTTTTCCACAGAGGTCAGGCACTACTGGTAAAGAACACACTGATGCCCCCGGAGGCTCCGGGATCGAGACCTGTCACGGTCGAAATCCTTCCGACGGTGGAGGGAAACAGTGTCCTTAGTCGATGGACGGCGGTGACCTGGGATAACGTAGACCTGCGAGCTGACCAGGATTGGAGTTGGGCCGCCGTTGATCCGGCAGCTTCCATTGGATGCGGTGGTGGGTGCTGAATCTAAGCGATCCACTGAGAAATCGGCAAGGGTGAGTGGATGAGGATATCCCGAAATACCGGTGAGGGCAGGGTCTGCCGGATAGCGGCCACCGGGTGAAGATATGAGCGGCCCCCCTGTCTCACACATCATACACACATACATGCATACGCGTCCCGTACGCAAGACACTAATGCAAAGATGCATGTTTTTCCTGGAAAGCATGAAGGGGGACACGCTTGCATGTGTGAGAAACCGTTGCTGTACGACTATCATACTATTTGCCGCTTCATTATGAATTAGTTAAAACAATCGGGCAACATTGGATTCAGTTATCCGTAGATGTGTACATTTTAGATGTAGCATAGCGTCGGCGTTAAAACATCAGATCTACGTCTGGGTTCGGATTCGGAGGACTTCAGGCATTTCCAGTATTTCCAGTAAAGGTTTTGAAGGACTGGAAAGGTCTATCGTAACGTGCAAGCACTGTCGGGTGCACAAGTCCCATCGGGAACCTCCGGCATAAAATTCGATTGGCTCGTAATCGTATCACTCTGCCGCCCTGCCATGGCCCAGCATGGGAACATCTTCACAGGCCCGTGGGCGCTGTGATGGTGTGACGGTGCAGCGATGCTGTAAAGCACATGCATAGATTTCTTCTCGGGCCTGGCAACAGCGTAGATATCGCGGGAGCATCGCCAAAGCCACCGCGATTTCTTGGGGCTCGTTTTGGCGGGAAGCCCTTGTGCAAATCAAACGGTTACTTTTTTAAATACGTTTAAACAGAGGCAATTGTCCAGGTACGGATACGTTCAGGTTCAGACGCCTTAGAAGTTGACAATACCCGGACAAGTCCACTGCCTAGCCATATCCACGACCGCAGAATGATGATGCGTACGGCCCATCATGCCTAAATAGCTCACGGTGAAAAAAATCCTAAACCAGGTGCAGTGTTTAGTGTTTTTGAAGCGCTTCACTGCGCTGCTGCTTTGGAAAAGCCGAAACCTGTGTGGCGAACTAATAAGCCAGCGATCACCGTTCTCCGCGGAAGAAAGAACTTACCTGAGACGGCGGGCGCCCACCGCGCCCAAGAATATTTACGCTCGCCAAATATTTTCGGTAAATGCGCTTTTGGTAGGACTACCACGCCATGGAACAAATGATGCGGCAGCAAATATGCAACAGCAGAAGATGTCGTCGTGGTGTTTGGGGCTATGCATGCCAGGTTTTGGCCGACGAACTTCGGCGCAGCTAGTGCGCGGTGCTGGGTAGGGGCTGTGGAACTGTTGACCCATTCTTAAGAGGGGGAAGATCGACAGCCTTCGTACTTCAGGTGTATACATTGACTTGGCGGCCAAGCGTCAGAAGCGGACCAGAGGCCCGGGTTATCCGTTGACTGTCGGCTACGGAATCGATGAGATGCGCTGACCGCGATGAGTGTGAAGTGTGACATCCGGGGGGTAGATGTTTGACGAGTCAACGTTGTGCGTACGGCAATTCACAGCCCGCCTTTGCCCCTCACACAATGCATGTGGCACATCATGCAATGAAGCTAGTCATCTGAGTTTATTAAAGACAAACAATGCGAACCTTTGTTGCAAAATGTTTGTCACGATATGTGACATATATGAGGTGTAATAAGAAGATAAGCCGATGATGCAGTTGCTAAAATCAGTACAGTGGTCACATACAGACGCCGGCAAGAAGGACGTCATCCCCAAAAGAGGGGTTGCAGTCCTTGACAATCCAAAGCCCCAAACTCCTGGTCGACTCCGCAATAGCACGCAGGCTGGTGTTTTTTAGGATTTGGAGATGTTGGGGCTCCATGTGGATGCGGGGAAACACTCCATGAGGGATTGCTACATGTAGTTGTTGCTCTTACTATTGGCCATTACAAACAGTTGTCGCAGTTGCCTCAGCAATATTTCTTATCATGTTGGCCAAGCAGTGCATCGTAATGAAGCCCTTTCTTCATAGCCTTGCTGCACGCAGAAAGCAAGGTGCATGTCTGCTTGAAGGACAGAATGACGTAAGACCTACATAGCAATGCATGACTTGTACAGCATTACATGCTCTGGAGTGCCTTGTGGCTCTCGCGCAACTCGTGGGAGCTGGAGCTCAGCAGCGAGTAGGCTCATGTGTCATGTCTGTGTGTTATGTATGCCTCCTCATATGAGTCATCTACCTGGGAGACATCGGACATGCCGCGATGCACTACAGCGGTAGTGAGCATGCTCAGACTAATGGGGAGCAAGGTCGGAACAGGCTGAGCATGCATATGCCCACTACCGATGCACAAGGGACATTGCATGCTCAGCTCATTCTTTCCGTGCTCCGTGATCAGACTGGGACAGCGCGGGACAGAGTAGCGCCTTTCACAAGCGGCAGCACACTGGGCCGCAGTTGCTACAACAGCGAGTTGCAGCGCGGTTGGCTAGTTAGGCACGGGGCCCCCACTGGGCATATGCTCACAGCCGGTGCACCGGTGAAATCTGTGCTAAATTTCGGGGGTACTAATTTCCTTGATTTTAGGAAGTTGGTAGGACGCGTTATTAGTAGGCCAATATTTTCTTAAAGTTTGGGACCGAATAGGGCCTTGAGCACGGTGGAGCAAGCTGAGCACCGGGCCACGCAATGCTGAGCACCGGGTGCACCGGGCCTTAGCCTGAGCGTGCTCGCTACCGGTGCACCGGCATGTTTGTTAGCTGTGCGTTTGGGATATGCTTTTGCATTAACGTGTCTATTTAGTTAAGTTGAGCCACAAGGCGATGATGTATATGTGTGTGTTTATGCATGTTTGCGCGTGTTTGTCTGTGCATCTGCGCGGGATAACGAAGACGATTTGCGGCAAAGTGCCGCTGTAAGTGCCCTTATGGGTGTCACCCTCCCACCATGGCGACGTACGCCGATGGCCGAACGCATCGGGTGGACCAGTGGGAGCAGACCGACCAACACCCGCCCAAGAGCCAGAATAACCCCGGGGGGGATACATCTCCGAAAGGAATCAAAGGGATGACCTGAGCCACTCGTGTGATACAATAATAATGCGCGAATGTTGCATCCTCGTGAACCCCTTCGTAAAGCTGCTGGGTCTGCATGCGCCCCCAGATCTTTTCAGACGGCCCTGTACCTTGTGCGGAATTTGTAACATGTAACTTGTGAACTAGTGAGCTTGCTCCCACCTTGTCCCCCCCCGTAGCCTCGGGTGGTTTCAGGGCGGGAAGGGAGGGAAGGCAGGAGAGGGGAACCAAATTGAAGGTCGAAAGACATTCGAACACTGCACCGGAGTTACATCGGACCCACGAGTGGTGGCGTGGGAACGAGCAGGGTACGGGGGCAAGCCAAAGGAAATTAGGGTGGCTGGTTATGCCGCCCTTGCGGCCTTGCGGCCCTTGTTGCGGCTGTTCCGTCCTTAGTGACCAAATGGCGGCGACTCGGGAAAGACCCATCCCTTGAGTCCCATCGGTGAACTATATGACGGTTACCCTGGGTTGTCTTCTAAACATTTACGATGAATCGAGTGCATTGTTTTGTTTGATGTGGCTAGCGCGCCACAACCTCACTCGTCGTACACACAAATCCTAGCTCCGCTAGCTCCGAAGTTACGACATGGTCTCACACGCGTTCCAAACGCTCGTTAACAAACTTCATAACATTACATCAGGGCTCAGGGCTTTGGGTTGTCCTATTGATTGGGGGCACTTTCCTCAGTACGACCCGGTAAAATGCTAGAAAGTATGTAAATCTTAAGACCACCAAAGAAGCACCTCGGGACTCCGTTTTGCAAGGAGACCTAGAGGCACTTAGTGTTATGGAAGGTTCCAAACATAATTGAAGCGCATTGGGGATTGTTCTTTTTGTATTAGCTGGCGGCATGGACATCGGACTTGAACCGTGTTCTTCTACGACCCTTGGGTCGGCCCGATAAAAGTTGCTACTGTGACCGACTATGCAAAATGCATTGATGCCATAAATTGCTTTACATGAGATGATTAAGAATATTCCGACACAAAGCGTTAGCCCTGCCGTGCTGGTTGTGTCAAGCTTTGCACACAAGCTTTGCGCCTGTGCTGTGCGTAGCAGCAATCCGCTGCAAGGAAGTGGCTGCGAAAATGTAATCTGAGCTGTGTCTAACCTCTAATCTAATCACAAAATCACGTAGACTTACAACGCTAAGGGGTCTACGGAAGCGCCACTTTGAACTTTCAGTTTGTTCGGCAGTAAAACGGTTGGTAATTCAAGGAGACAATACAAAATAGCACAGAGGTCAAATGTTTGATGATCGAATGTGCTCACTAGCATCGGAGCCTGGATTTGCTTTTCCTTGCTCTTTGGAGCATTTTAACTTCTTAGGTCACCGGCACTGCCGTGCGCTGCGGCAGTATATTGCTAGCCGTGAGGACACGGTCTGCCTTCGTAGTGTACATATATAGGCTTATGTTAATTATAGTATAGGCGGTTTGAGTAGGCAGTATGGGCAAGAACCTTAAGCGTCAGAACGATGGCGTATTTGGAACACCGGGAGGAGCTTCCCGGCATGGCGGCAAGCCGCCCCTGTCTGTTGCAGGCAAAAGGCACAAACAAATGAGCCTAGTCCCCTTCCTACGAACACCGGCTCACATCGAGGTGCGCACCCCCGAGTCAACACAGCACCTTGCATTCCGGACGCAGCAGTGGCCCAATGCGACGCGGAGCGCTATGCTGTTTCTATCAGGAGACTCCTGCTTTGCAATTCAAGGCTGGCAAGAGCGGTATCTCTTCTACTGGGCTTCACAAGCTCGGCCAGCTCAAGTTGCGAACCCAGCAGGCAAGTTTCTTCGAGGCCTCCTGAATGCGATTTTTACGTTCTTCCTAAATTTCTTTTGTTCACCTGTTTCCTCACTGCGTTTGTGACCATCGCTGAGACGTCACAGAAGCAACAACCAAAGTCGACCGCTGCAACTACACAAGAGCGACCAGCGGTTCAAGGTGGGCCCGTGGTTTTAATGTTTAATTGTTTCCCGGGGCTTTCATTTATCTAGGCTGCATAACTTCGGCGTACCTGACCTGCTCGCAGCTGAGCCTCAGTGGCAGAGCACTTCCCCTGCCAGCGACGATGAATTTGTCATTTCAATGAGCCAGACTTATGAACGGACACAACCTGAGCCTTGCTGCGACTATGGGTCAGCAGAGCGCGAGGTGAGTCAGTAAAATAATCGTCCGCGCTTTCGGGTTACTCGCCGTACACAATCATCGCCAGCATCTATGTTTCGGGTTGATATCTGTTCGTTAACTTAACTAGCGTATAATTTTAAACTTCTCTCCTTAGGAAAGTTTCTTGCATCCCTGATTCCCGCTCCTTCCGACGTCCACTGTGTTTCCCTGCTCGCCCCCTGCCCTGCGTGCAGGAAGTGGAGCTGTCCCTGCGCCGGACTCAACCGTATCATGCAGCGGGCTCCACGCAAAACTACGGTCAGCACCACCACGACCTGCTCATCGCGACGGCCGCAGCTGCTTTGGACAATCCCGACGCGGCCGTCGTCACCTCTACCGCGGATGCATGGGAGGCCTCAGTGGCGCAGGCCAGTGCGCTAGGCGTCGGCTCTGCTTCGGCAGCAACCGTCCTATTGCCTCACGATCTCATACTGGAAGGTCAAGGTTCCAATCAGCCGGGACACTTAGCCGCAATCATGGCCGCGGCTGCTGTGGGGACACGGGGCCAGTCTCGAACAGGGTCTTTCCCGAGCGCCGACATTCTCAGGCCCCTTCCGTCGGCACTACCGGCAGGGTCAAGTGGCCCCGCGCAGACGCCCGAGCTGCAGGGTAGCGGCGCAGGGGGCATTGCGTACGGCACTGCGACCGATGACATCGCGGATGACGGTACGACGCCGCCGTTGCAGGTTGGCCTGCCGCTGTTTCCCATCTTCACCCAAGGGAGAGCACGGCGGGTAAGTGGTCGACAGGCCGGCTAGCGCTGCTTGCCGGGGAGTGTGGCCAGGGGAGTGAATTGGCATTGACGAGAGGGGGCCGTGAGTGGCGCGGGACGTAGTGCTGGCGCGTAGGTGATAGCTTCTTTTCTGTCGTGAAAATGGTAGGTAGAGCCTGTAGATACATATTGCATGGCGCTCTTGGTGTGTCGAAGGCTTTGGCTTTCCGCACTGACTGCTGTTACCTGGCATGCAGCGGCCGCCGATTCATCTCATACGACACGGCGAGTCGGAGTTTAACCTGGCCTGTAAGCGGCGTGGAGGCTTCGGCGACCCTCACGACATTTTCGACGCTCGACTGACGGCTACGGGCGAGAAGCAGGTGTGTCCCGCCCAACATCCTTACTGGCCCCCCAACTCCTTACGGCAACTTGGCCTATCGTCCGTGCCAGTCATCCTTCTCACGCTCCGGCTCAGCCGAAGGTGCGCGCACATTGTCGCGCCGGCGTCAGATGGGGCTTTGGTAGTGCCTGTGATGTAGATGATGTCAGTCTGCGCCATGGCCTCTCCTGTCTACAATGATCCTGTCCGCAGCCTGGCCAGGTACCTCCTGGATGCGCGACCACCTCGCACTTCACTAAGCGGCTGGTCAGTCGACCGCCAGCGCTCGCTTTTTCGAGGATTTCCGGTTGCGTTGGGCAACCTCGCGTATGTGTCTCTTGTTTAACCGCCCGCAGCCTACCAGCGTCGTACGGTGCAAGCCCTGCCGCTGCCTCTCCTCCTGCGGCTCGGGGTCCCTCATAACAACCGCCGCTCTCTGATGCCTTCCTCTACCTTTCCCTCCTTCCTCTACCTTCGTGACTTTTGTGCAACGGAGCAACTGACCTGAAATGGAATTATTAACTACTTTTTCCGCAGGCCAAGGCCCTCCGGCCGCAGCTGCTGGACTTGATGCAGCAGCACGGCGACCCGCTGTTCATTGTGTCACCGCTGTCGCGCGCCATCGAGACCTTCCTGTTGATGCTGCCCGACCCAGAGCGGCTGCGAGTGTGCCCGCAGACGCCGCCGCCCCCCCCGTCCGCGTCCATGTCCTCATCACAGAAGCAGCATGGCCAGTCTCAGCCGCAGTCGCGGCAGCAGCAAGGAGAGGTACAGGGGACTGGCACCTCATGCACCCCTGGGATGGCATCCAAGCCCGTCAACATGGTCATCTGCCCGTGAGTGAGGAAACGCCAAGTACATGAGAGGGGCCAGCTCACATTATTGTAACACATTGAGGCGATTTTAGAATGACTAATTGCGGATCTCCTTGCCAGCACTAATTTCCACGTGGCATGTGTGCGCACGTCCTTTGCAGATTGCTGTCCGAGTTCCTCTTAACCAGTGGCGATGTGGGACGGCCACGGTCGGCGCTGATCGAGAGCTATCCGCAGGTATGGTGCTGGCTCACGTGCGCCAGGTGGCGCCTATGCGGCAGCGAACTCAACAAATTTAATTAACAGTCACGCGGTAGCGTTATGTATTGAAGCTAGTTCCTCGGTTTGGTGGTTACGAAGACGCTGGGGGCATTTAGCAAGCCCCGCGGTCACCTCCATTGCTGACCCGTTTTGCAATCTCGTTTTCCTGGTTAATGCGCCGCAGATCGCCGAGCAGCTGCGCAAGGGCTTGGACAATGAGCGCTGGTGGTACGAGAATACAATTAAGGGGCCAAATTGCGCCGTTAGCAAGGTGCTTAACAGCACTGAACCCGACAAGTCCGCGAAGGTACGCAGCCCTCTGGGTTCATGGCACCTTCGCTGGGCCTTTGGTCCCGCATGGGCAGCGGCCGGCCCGCCTGGGGTCTGTTCCAGTTATCCGAGTCATTGGTGTGTAACACGTCTCCCTGTCTGCGCCATTCTTTGCTTGCCTACAGACGTGGGCTCTTGTGCGCTCTTTTGAAGTTTTGGATTCCGTCCGTTGTTGTTTGCAGGCGCGGGTGGACCGCTTCCGTCAGTTTGTGTTTTCGCAATCACATCGGCCCATTGTGGTGGTTGGCCATGCAAACTTCTTCAAGAGCCTGACCCACGACAGTCATTACATGAGCAACTGCCAGATGATGGCCTGGGCGCCGTGAGGTCTTGAGTGTGAAGCGACGAGGCGCTGACATACCATGGCTCTGTGGCGCACGTACAGCCGGCAGCCCATTGGTATTCGGCGCGCGGTAAAGTGTGTCTTATATAATCGCGCTGCGTTACGTACATAAATTGTTGCCTCAGGGCCTTTTAGGTGGGCAGTCCATAGCTTTGGCTGCGGTAGCTGTCGGGGGAGGTACAGGGCGCCCGCCCACGCTGGGTGGGCGGGCGAGGAACTGGGTTGGTAATAGGGTCCGGCGATCTCCATGCTGCTTCCCGCTGATTGAGTTGAGGGCGCGAGGGCCAGATGATTGTTCGGCCCCGGCAGTCCTCTCTGCAGGAAGGAGATACCGCGACCAGCGGTGATGAGACTTCGGTTTCGAGTGTTACGCCAGTGGCCGGGGGCCATAGACTGATGTGGGCATGGAACAGGGGAAGATTCAGCTCCATACAATCGATTGTTAGCCGGGACACTCTAGGTGCCTTGGGCAAGGCTTGGGGGGGAGAGGGAGCTTTGCGAAGAGCAGGAGAGCGCTTCGAGGACGCGCAGTTGGGAGAGACGCGAAAGATTTTTTGACCGTCGTAGTAACGAGCACCCTTCGTAACGGCTTGCTGCTTGGACGGCGATACAGGCTCCAAGCCTATGTTCGTCGCCATGTTCGCCCTTAGATGCTCGATTCCGCCCAGTGACGAACCCATTCGACATGATGGCGCTTTGATTTTTGCGGATAAAAGTTTATCTCCGCTTTTTGACCGTTCTCTTGGCTTTTTGTATTGAGATCGTGTTTGTGTGTGACCTTTACGGAACCTCCCATCAATCTTCGGCGCTTGACCGCGCAAAGCCTGCATAGCCATAATAATTCTTCAATTTTCCCCATGAAGTCCCCCGGGGATGCATTTCTTGACTGGCGGACCCCGCGTCCCATTACAGACGCGGTGGTGGTGGTTGAAGGTGGCGAGCCCTTTTTTGCGTCGTCGCGGTGGTTTCCCGTCGGCTGGTTGTTGGCGGGATATGCCGCAAGGGCAACTTGACCCCAAGCACGACCATGACGACAAAAAGTTGTTGATATGGACCCGTGCCTTTTCATTGGATTTGTGTGTGCGAACAAACGTTTGCTCGCGCCCGCTTGTGCGTCATGCTTGAGCCTGCTACGCAGCGCGCCGCTGTAGGAGCAGGCCAAGCCAGCCGTGCTTTACCCTGCGAGGCGTAGCTTTAGTATATACTTGGCGGTTGGGTGCGCCGGCGTGTCGGGGCGCAGCGTGTGTTTCCCAGTAGCAAATCGGACAGCAAAATTGACGGAGGCGGCAGGACAGTGAACTGTTATTGAGCGTGTTTCCCTAGTGGGTTGCGTCTGCATTTGTACACTGAGCGTTTTCCTGCATTCTTTGACTTTGTACGTACCGGCTGACGAGCGGCAATCTAGCGCATGTTTTAACTCTGACCGTCGCTGCGGTTCCGGTGCCACCGATTTCTAGGGCACTCTTTGGAGCCTGACGGACCAGTTGACTTGCTTTATTGATTTTTACTGACTTGCAAAAATTCAATATAGTGCGAATAGTAGATGTCGCTCGCACATAAGAGAGTTTTCGGACCCTTTCCTTGAATGTCCTCGTTTCCACCCATCCCTTCACAAGGTTTGGTTCACGTCGTGTCCGAATCTGGCTGGAAAGGTGTTCGGACCTGTACGGCTAAGTGTATGGCGACGTGTACGAGTACCAATTTGCGGCGGTATGGCGACGTTTGTTTTACATTGCCCCGTCACTGTCAGGGTCGATGAGAGTAAGGGAGATCGAGATAACGTGTTACTGCGGACTTCTCTTTCTAATTGCAGCCTACGTGTCATTATCCAGGGGTTACACAGTGACCATGAGGTTGATACGGTTGTCCCCGTTGGAACGCCAACTGTTGCAACCAATCGGACCTCCACCACGTACCCGACCGCAACCCTCATCAACATTTATCTATTCTGAACATTGAGAGCAATTTACATCAGTTACGTATACCATCGCTCCTTATCATTGCAGAGTCCGACTTTCGAAGACAGATAACGCTCGTTATAGAGCAAAAGCAATGATCGGACCTTCTGCTCCGGACTATGATATCTCTGCATAGATGATTTGACGCCATCCCGATAATCCACTCCTCGCAAACCCACGTCCGGCCACTACCTCCACCAGTGGAGGTGTCTCGAACCGCTCCCGACATTCGCTTCCCGCAACCACCCTCGAGCGAAAGGCACCCCAAATCTTGCCAAAGGCAGGTCATCGAGTAAAAGCCCGAAGACTCTGTACCTTTCACGTGTCCCAAGTACAACTAACGCACACACACACGCTGCGCAAACAACTTCCTGGTGCCTGAGGATATAAATGATCACTGGTGCGTGCATGCGTTTGCAAGAGCACATATAGGCAGGGCTCCAGCACCAGGGCTCGCGTACCGCACGCCTTCACAGTTATCACGATAGCCGCCGATCGCCGATACTGTAACATCGCAGTTCAATCCCCCGCCTCCAAATTAAGAATGACGGAGTGCTTTCCGGGTGGACAGCAGCACGCCACACGCGGGGGGGGGGTTTGAGTCCTGTGCCCAACCGTTCTAAGCATGCTCAGCAAACATACCGTACAGCGTGCGCAATACAAGTGATCGTACAAGCGACATTTCAACATACAGGCGGTCAAGATGACACACTTGGCAGTGGGCCGCCAACTCCGTTTACTAAGCACCTTGATTGCTGCACAATCACGGGGCGGGACTGAAAGCACCAAAAACCGCCTTTAGGTACTACTCTATTCCGGTATGGATAATGTATTGTTGCGGGTTCGCTCTTAAACCCCAAGCCCTGTCCCAGTAATGCCGACCAGTCTACCTGCAGGGGCCCCTATCGGAAACCCTCCAACGTCCATGCAGCCGGGGGAAGCTGGCGAAAGCAGCAAATCGGGGGCCACCGTCCAGCTTACCGGGCTTATACCCCCAAGTCCCCACAACTCAACTCTCGCATACCACCACTGCCTTGGCACCCCCACGCTGCCAGGCCCCACTCCACTCCGCGAACACTCGAGAAGATTCCACCTACAAGCTCCCGCGGAGCCGGTGCCGCAACCGAACCGCGGCAAGAGCCAGACTCCACCCTCGCACCCGACAGGTAGGTTGACGCAAGCGCCCCGGGCACAACACGGCACGTAGGCTCCTCTTGCCTGGAGAAGGCCATGAGGTCCAGCTAGACCGAGCCTGACTTAAGGACTGCTCGGCATGTTAGGACCCCCCTTCAGGAGCCACGCGACCTCACGCTTGAGCCCTGGAGCTGCTGCTACCGCCGCCGCCGGCTACCGATGCTCCGTCCGCGGCTCCTCATGCCGCGAGCGCTGGTTCCTTGTCCCCGGCCGCTGGTGCGAGGTCCTCCTCGTCGCTATCCCGCGACGACAGGGGGTCTTCCGCGCCCACGTCCTTGGTGTCGATGAACACCACGAGGTCGCCCGCGTCCAGGGCGTCGTTCACCTCCACCGCCACCTAAAAAGGAAATTTTGAAAGGACAAAATTTTGAACTATTTAAAAAATTCCATCAAGTCAGGATCGACCCCGCACCGATTGGGGTGGGTGTAAGGGAAACCCGACGTCGGTGATGCGCGAATGCGCGAGGGAGGGAGGGAGCAGAACAACGGTATATAACGGCTCTCAGAGCCTAAACCACGCACACACGACATACGATCTGTGCAATTCCAAGCACCGGTTTCGCTCACCAGTTTGCAAATCCCACCCTTACCCCACATCCTCCAATGGCATCTTCACATGTGCACACACATACATACAGCCATACACACCTGCGTGATGACACCCGCCACCGGTGCGCAGATGGCCGTCTCCATCTTCATGGCGTTCATGACCACCAGCTGCTGACCCGCCTTCACTTGGGCGCCCGGTTTCACCGAGACCTGCAGCCATCAGAGGAACAGACGGCAAAACAAACAAGGAAATCAACGTGAAATCTTCAATCTGAAAATGCGGTGCGAGTGGCCCTAGGCCGCCACAATTTCCTTCCTTCGCAGCAGGGGTTTCCCCCCTCGCTCTCAACCTTTAACCCTCCTTTCTGCCCCCCACCCCACCCACAGGCCCCCCCCACTGCCACTCGCCTCAATGATGGTACCCGCCATGGGGGCACCCACACTGCCCAGAACCGCCAGGTCCGCCTTCTCGCGTACGGCCTTCTTCCCGACCACCAGCTCCGCCTTCTTATCCGTCACCTCCACCACGCGGGGCACTCCGTTGGCCTCGAAGAACACCTCCCGCTTGCCTGAGGGGGATGTTTTATAGGGGTCATGTAGGCGGGCATTGCTAGAGAGGTATGCTAGAGTCCAAGATGCTACTACTACTGCCGACACCCTCTTTCGAGGGATTGGGCGCAAAAGGAGTCCGAACCGAGAGTCGGGCTGATAGGAGATATGGGTAAGGGTACGGGTTGTTGCAAGCCGTGTGGAAGGATGTGAGCTGGTAGCATGAAGCATGAATCGTTTGTAGCTTTCACTGCGCTAGGGGACACGGGAAGAGGCGGGGTGCTGCCTGAATCCGGATGCTGTCCGGGCACCGCGGACCAGCACTAGGTAAAGGAACGACGAATGTAACCGACTCCAAACCGCCCCGGCCTCAGCCGGCCAAAACGCTCTGAGGCACCCAGCACCCAGTTGACTAAGCCTGGCTGGCTCACCATTAGGCTGCAGCTCGCCCATGGCCTTGTACTTGATGTTTGCCGCAACACCCTTGGCAATTTCAAACTCCACCTCCTCATCCTCCTCCAGCGGCGTGAGGAAGGCCCTGCGATATATAATCACCACACAGCCACACACACAGCCAAACGACAGCAAATCCAATTAGGTGGGTCAGAAGTAGAGCGGGCCTCGGTACGCAAATTGTAAGGATCCGAATCCAGGTATTGCTGGAAGGCCTCCACTGCCCTCCACGGACCTTTTGGGTCGCCCGCCGCTCGATGCGGTTGCAGCTAACACATCCCTCCCTCCCTCGCACCTATCCCTCCCTCCCATCCCACCCCTCCCTCCCTCCCTCGCACCCATCCCTCCCTCCCTCCCATCCCTCCACGCATGCCTACCTCGTCGGCAGCTTCTCAATCAGGTCGCTGTACTTGAGGGTGTGGGTCATGTACTCGTCAAACACCTTGGGGTACAGCGCCGCGGACAGCACGTCGCGGTAGGCAATGGCGCCAGCGCCGTACTTCTCCTTGAGCCGGTACTCCAGCCCCATCAGGTCGAGGGACGCTAGAGAGGCGCCAGGTCGCCCCTCGATCACGTGCTTGCCCTTCAGCACCCGCGAGCGCAGGGGCTCCGGGAACCCGAACGAGGGCTGACCGAGATAGCCCTGTGGTGGTGATGTGGCGGTGGTGGTGATGTGGTGGCAGAGGGACGAGGGTTTATTAAGAGGGGAGAAGTGGGATTGGAGGGGGGTTAGACGAGCAACTGACGATTGAAGCATATGGGTATCAGAAATAGACGGATAATCCAGATAAGGCAAATATTGCAGCAGTAATATTTACTGATCAGTGATGATTTGGATAGTAGTCTTGGCGTCATTGAATACTAGCCAATGATGGAGTGCTTCAGCTGTCGCTCATTCCGTTGGGTGGTACACCGGGTTAGGTGCCCCTGGCCCCGATCGATATGTCACAGATATACGCACACCCACACACACACGCCCCCCCCACAGGCTTACACACTTCTACATATACACTTACATAACATACACGCACACCCACACACCGCCATACCTGCATGAACTCCACCACCGACGAGGGGAAGGACAGCGACTCCGCCTTGGCCACCAGCGTGTGCTCGTCCAGGTTGTTTTGAACCATAAACTGGGCCAAATCGCCCACCACCTTGCTGCTCGGGGTCACCTAACGCAACCAATTCCGGTGCAGGGTGGGGGAGGGGAGGTCAAGGAGGTCAAGGAGGACAAGGGGCCGGGTGGGGATACGAGCTATGGGGTCGATATGATGTCCGTAACGACCGGATGGTGTTACGTGGTGCAGGTGTTAGGTTGTTGTCGTCATTGTTGGGCCGAGTCAAGGACGGACGGAACGTTGGTGAGAAGTACCAAGCCGATATAGGAATACAAATATTGCGACCCTGCTACGGTATTATCAACAGTTGCCCCGTATAGCCTCTCCACCACCACCACCCCCTAAAACGGCATAGCAGGACCCGCTCTTCTTTACCTTGACAATGTCCCCGAGCGCCCGGTTGGCCCCGGCGTAGGCCTTGCAAATCTTGTCCCACTCGTCGCCGAGACCGAGAGACATGGCCTGGAACTTGAGGTTGGTGTACTGCCCGCCCGGCATCTCATGCAGGTACACGTCACTGCTGACGGCCTTCATGTTGGACTCGAACGGCGCGTACAGCTCCCGAGTCTGCTCCCTGGAGCCGGAGGAGTTCGGATTTGGGAGTCGGATTTGGAGGGAGGATGACGAGAGAGGAGAAGGGATGAGGAGTGGGGAAATATTCGGGGTGCATGTATGCAGCAACACAGCAGTAAATAAACCACCGTCGTCGCCAGCACCCGTCCATTATCACCCGTCCCTTCCTGCCCGGCCCTGCTAGGAAAACCCCCTAGTCACCCCCACCCCCGCCAAAGAGCCCCACTGCCGATACGAGAGCCCTCCGCGCGCCCAACCTCCCCCACCAGTAGGTGCTGAGCGGGATGATCACCGCGGGGTCGATCCCCGTGTCCAGCTCAGTGCCCGCCAGCGCATTGACAATGGCGCCCATGGAGGGCTGGCTGGTGAGACCGCTCATGGAGTCCACACAACAGTCCACCATGTCGGCACCCGCCGCGGCGGCCGCCAGCTGGGTCGCCACACCCGTACCTGGAAGAGAAAGGAGATGGGGAGAGGCGAAGGGGGTGGGGGTGGGGATGGGGAGGAGATGGGGAGGGCAGGCGGGCGAGAAGTCAGGGCATACAGATGGTGTGATCCATCCATCCATCCATCCGTAATGCACCCACTCAGGGACACCATCAACCGCTGATGCTCATCCACAACTGCTCCCTTCCACAACAAAACACACACAGATCTGCCCCCCCCCAGCCCCCCCCTCGCCAAAGCCCCACCAAACCGCGGTCCCGCCCTACCCGCGCTGTCGTGCGTGTGCACGTGTATGACGGTGTCCGGGAACCTCTCCCTCAGCGCCCCCACCAGGGTGGCGGCCGCCCGGGGCTTCAGCAGCCCCGCCATGTCCTTGATGGCGAGAGCGTGACACCCGTGGGCCACCAGCTTCTCCGCCAGGTCCAGGTAGTAGTCCAGTTGGTACTGGGGAGGGGAGGAGAGGGGAGAGGAGGGAAGGGGAGAGGGTGATAGGGGACAGGGAGGGGAGGGCCGAGTGGAAGGTGGGGGTGGCGGGAAAGAGGAGAGGGAGAGGACTTTCTTGACTGACGAATTGGTATCAGATACATGCGCGTGCGTGAGTTCGTGCATAAGTTCGTGCGTGTGTGTGTATCGATAAAAGTATACGTGTGATTTTTTAAAACAGACAAACAAATAAACAAACAAACAGGCAAAAGACACAGATGCACAAACGCCGCTCAAGTCTCCCAACCGCCTCAATCCTGCCGAAAACAGACATACAATCCACACATACGTACAGCGCATAGCAGCCATACACCCACACCCGCAACTTTCCATCCCGCGGCTTTCCTCCCGCAGACACCTCGACGTACCCCACACCCACCCGGAATCTATAACTAACTGCCCACGTTGCCGCCATGACTACAAACCTAGGGGTCACGAGGGGTCAGTACCTGAGGGTTCCCCTCTGTCAGTATTGGTCTTGTCGGAAGGAATATCCGTATATATGAACCAGATTCAACCGCCGCTAAAAGGCTTTTTCTCCTCGACAATCGTCTGTGCTTCGTCGTAACCCCTTCTACGCCCCACTCTCCCCCTACCTTGCCCCCTCCACTCTCCCCCTACCCCTACCTTGCCCCCTCCACTCTCCCCCTACCCCTACCTTGCCCCCTCCACTCTCCCCCTACCCCTACCTTGCCCCCTCCACTCTCCCCCTACCCCTACCTTGCCCCCTCCACTCTCCCCCTACCCCTACCTTGCCCCCTCCACTCTCCCCCTACCCCTACCTTGCCCCCTCCACTCTCCCCCTACCCCTACCTTGCCCCCTCCACTCTCCCCCTACCCCTACCTTGCCCCCTCCACTCTCCCCCTACCTTGCCCCGCCGCGAGTCCGAGAGGTCGCCCGTGTAGCACAACGTCGCCTCCACCACTCCCCCCGCGTCGCGAACAGCGTCCATGCCGAACAGCAGGTTGTCCACGTAGTTCAGAGAGTCGAAGATCCGGAAAATGTCCACACCGCACTTGACCGACTCCTTCACGAACTCCCGGACGACGTTGTCCGGGTAGGAGGTGTAGCCCACAGCGTTGGCGCCACGAAACAGCATCTGCGGTGGGATGGGCGTGTGTGTGGGGGGGGAGGTACGGGTGCGGTACGGGCTTTGTGGGGTGGGGGATGGGGATGTGAAGGGGGGACTTCTGGGGGAACCCCACCTGACGTCACCTCACCCCACCTCACCTCACCAATACCTGTTCGGGCTTCACCCATCCATACCGCAACGCCACGCAGCTTTCCCCCCGAGGCCCCACAAAACCATATTACCCCCCAACGTAGGCCCGGGCTCAAGTACGGCACTACCCCGGGTGGACCTCCCTCCCCTCCCCTGCCCTCTCCTCCCCTCCCTTGCCCTCTCCTCCTGGCGCATCAGTCCATCCTCCTTGACATCACCTTCACTCGCTAGTGGTTCGTCTCCCCCTCCCCTCCCCTCATCCCCTCCCCAGCCATCAGTCGGCACCTGGAAGGGGATGTTGGGCACCAGCTCCCGCAGCCGCTCCAGTCGGTGCCAGGGGCACTCGTGCAGGAAGCGCAGGGAGACGTCAAAGGTGGCCCCGCCCCACATCTCCAGGGAGCCCGCACCCGCCAGAATGTGCGCGGTGGCGGGGGCGGCCTTCAGCATGTCATGGGTGCGCATGCGGGTGGCCAGCAGGGACTGGTGCGCGTCGCGCCTGAGGGAGGCAGGGGAGGGGGGTGGCGGAGGAAGAGCCGCGGGGGAAAGAAGAGGAAGACGAACCACGTGAACGAGCGAAGTTGATGCCAAGGAGGATGGACTGATGCGCCAGAAGTATGTAAGAAGTAGCTAACCAGGCGGGAGGGAGGGCGGGGGGAGGGGAAGGAAGGGAGGAGGAGAAGGGAGAGAGAGAGGAAGTGGTAAGTAGTGTTGGTGTTGGTGATGATGATGATGATACGGGCGGGGATCTTGGCACGCTTGACCAGATATTACCGACGTGCAGTGACACCTGTCACTAGCCTCGATCCTACACATGCTGTGTATGTATGCAGATGTGTATGTATGTATGCATACATATACATACATACAAACATACATACATACATACATACATACACGTACATGGTGGTATCTGTGATGAGGACGCCCTTATGTGCTCGCACCGCCTTGGCCCAGCCGTCAGGCCCTTCCCGCAGCAGCACGTCGCGCCAACCAGTCAACTTGGAGCCGACCAGGTGCTCCGGAACCGCCAGAGGGGACGGCACGAACTTGGAGGACTCGGGGCCGATGGCTCCAGGGTGGTCGGGACCGTTGACCACCATGTCTGCATGAACACGGGCGTTAGAAGCGCACAGACGATACGACACAGGTCGTGGGAAGGTGAAGGGAAAAGCGAACCTACTACTGGAGAAAAACATGGTACTCCTTTTCATCGCGCAGTAAATGAAGGGGAAAGGAAAAAACATGCAAGGGAAAAACTATTCCACCGAGTAGCAAAACACACAGCCAGGCACATCTCATTTCTCCCCCCCCCCGAACCGAGCACCCCAATCCACCACTGCAGTCACCCCGCAACGACTCCCTCATGGCCTGTTGGCAGCACCCCCCCAACCTTTTTCCACACACACCTCTTCCCCCCCCTTCCCCCTCCCCTCCCCTCCCCCGCCCATCCTTTATTTCCCCTCATCCTTATACACAGCAACACACCCCGACACGGGCCCCACACCTCGCACCTGCCAGGTAGGTGAGCAGCTTCGACGACCTGAGGGACCCGTGTCGTTCAAAGTTGAAGAGATCCCTCTGGTTCTTCTCGATGAAGAAAGTGGTGGCCTCGCCCGACAGAAACTCCGGATGCCGCATCACGTTCTCCAGAAATGGGATGTTGGTCTTAATGCCGCGAACCTGGAGTGAAAATAGGGTGGGCAGGGTGTGAGTGTGGTGGTAGCGGGGAAAAGGGGGAGGGAGAGCCAGGAAATAGCGGGAGGACGAGAGGAGATCGAAAGACATGGCAAGGGTACCCCGTCTTATGTAAATGTGCATACATGTAATGCACATGCATACATACACACAAACAGCGCGAACAGAGCTGTAGGGGCTGTGGCTCATTTCCCCCCTTTCCTGCCCCCTTCCCCTGTCCCTCCCCATCCTTCCTTCCCCTCCCTCCCCACTTCCTCTCCCCCCAAACCCACCCACCTGGAACTCGCTCAGCGCCCGCTGCATCTTCTGTGTCGCCTGTCTGAAGGTGGGTGCCGAGGCAATCACCTTGGCCAACATGGAGTCGTAGTAGCGGGAGATGACGTTGCCGGTGGTGACGGCCCCGTCCATGCGGATGCCGGGACCGCCGGGCATGCGGTAGGCCTCCAGACGACCCGTGTCGGGCTGTGTGTGTGTGGGGGGGGGGGAAAGAGGGGAGGGAAAGGGGAGGGGAATAGAGAGTAAGGGGAGGGGACGGGGAGGGGACGGGGAGGGGACGGGGAGGGGAAGGGGAGGGGAAGGGAGGGTGTTTTAGGAATCGTACCATGCAAGGAGCAATGTGAGGGGCGAAGCTGGACAACAGTCTCGTCAGTTTTTTAGTCGGTATATTTCAGTGAGTAAACAAACTAGCAGCCAGACTCTCTAAAATACAACACTCTACAAAACAACACTATAAAATACGTACAACAAATACAAAGCAATTAGAGACATACATACATACATACATACATACAAACAAACACAGGACAGGTACAAACAGACGGCCACGCACCTGGAAGTTCTGTTCCGGGTCCTCGCTGGTGACTCGGCACTGGATGGAGAAGCCGTACACCGGGGGGACATCGGCCTGGGTGCCCAGACCCAGAGAAATGAGACTGGCGCCGCCTGAGTGTGAGGGGGGGATAGGGGGTGGAGGAGGGGTGGGGGGAGGTGAGGGGTAAGACGAACCACTGGCGGATGGCGCAGATACCAGAGGTGACGGGGTTGGGGAGGTGAGGGGAAGGGGAGAAGAGGGGAGGTGAGGGAAAGGGGGGTGGAGATGTTGTGAAGTTTGGTGCGTTGCGGCCTCCTCCTACAACTATTTTATACACCTTAGTGGGGGTAGGTAGGGGGGAGAGGCAAGTATGTGTCTATGTATGTATGTGCCCTGTATGCATGTGTCTGTCTGTCTGTCTGTGTCGATGTATGTACGTATGTATGCATGTGTCTGTCCGTCTGTCTGTCTGTACGCATGTATATGTATGTATATATATATGGATGTATATGTACATATGTACGTACGCATGTATGTATATCGATAGATGTGCACCCACCGGCAATCTTGATCTGGCTCTGCACAATGTCAACACCCGTGATCTCCTCAGTGATGGTGTGCTCCACCTGTAAACACGTATGTATGTATGTGCGGGTCGAGAGGGGGGTAGTTAGGAGGCGGGGTAATTAAACACACGCCGTACTACCCACAACGCGGCTCCCTTTTAGAGCGGGAAGGAGGGTCGCCCCAGGTGATTGGGCGCTTACGGTCACGCACCCTTGCTTCACTACGAAGCCAGAACTACTCGCGGGCTTCGCCCGTAAAGTACTGGTAGGGCTCTTACGTCTCACACCCCTACACAGGGGTATTGTAGTCCACCGTCAATCGCGCTCCCCACCAACACCCCTTTCAATCGCCCACAACATACATGGACATACAGACGAACACACACGCGCACACACCAGGGCATGTGGATACATTTCACCCGGGCAAACCATCATTCCCGGGCACATCCCCAAGTCCTATCCTGCCTTGCCGGCCTGTCATTACATACATACATACAACCCAGCACCTCCACCTCGCAGCTCAGCTCATTAAACACGCATACACACACGCACACGCATGCACACGCGTGTCACCTGCACACGGGGGTTGACTTCCAAGAAGTAGTGGTTGCCGTCCTTGTCCACCATGAACTCAACCGTTCCGGCGTTGCGATACCCCACGTGGCGAGCCAGCTTTACGGCATCGTCGTACAAGGCACGGCGAGTCTTGTTGGGCAACTTGGGCGCAGGAGCAATCTCGACCACCTGAAATACAATAAATATATTTACATACAAATGGGAAAGAGATATCAAAGAGAGAAAAAATGGACGAGAAGAGGATTGGTATTCGGGCCGGGGCCGCGCTGATTTGGGCCATTCCTTAGTGTGGCAGGATAGTGCACAAGTCACCTCGCGTGAGTAAGGCAGCAGCAATGATGGCAGCAACAACAGCAGCGGTTGCCATGACAAGGACGGGAACCATGCCGCACCTTCTGGTGGCGGCGCTGCACCGAGCAGTCCCTCTCGTACAAGTGTACGACATTGCCGTAATGATCCGCCAGGATCTGGATCTCAATGTGCCGCGGTTCCTCCACGTACTTCTCCACAAACATGCGGCCGTCGCCAAAGGCGGATCGTGCCTCGTTGGAGGCGCGGATGAAGGCGTCCGACATCTCGCTCTCTACGGAACCGCGTGGAAATCACGCGGGATAGCATTTCACGCGATGCATATTCAAATTTGAAAACCGAAAAGACCTACTACTAGCCGAGCAGCGGCCAAAGGGCCTCCGCTACCAACATCACCCTACCCCACGCTCTCCATTACCCCACGCAACACCCTCAGCACCGTCCTCCTTACCTTTCCCCCCTTCCCCCCCTTCATACACACACTGTGCAGCGACTTCCCGGCGGCTCTTACCACTCTACCGCCACACACACCTCATTTTCCCACATGATCCCCCGCCCCAACCCCCATTCCGCCGGGACCCCTATCCTCTAGCCTCCTCTACCCCGCGGCCCTGGCCCAGCGCTGGAGCCCTAGCCCTAGTCCAAAGGGGAAGATCACTCCCCCTGTCGGAATCTTCCCCGCGTTTCACCTCACTTTCCCGCCAGCTTTCCCACCACCACCACCACCACATCGGCAATGGTAGCAACCGATGTGGGTCCCTTAAAAGAAACCCCTGACGTCTTCGCATCAGCAGGCGGGCTGCTTTAAAAGAAGCTTACCACCACACGAAAAGAGCTGCTTTCCACACACGTTCCCCTCGAGAAGTCCTCCCCATGACGTTCCGCCCGGCCAACTCCCTTCTTCCCCACACACTCCCTCACTCACTATACCCCTCCCTCACATTCACATAAACATGTACTGGCTCGCCACTTGCATGCTCCATACCTTCTTCCTCCCCCCTTTCCCTCCCCAAACCACCTCCAGCCTTTTCCCCCCTTGGGGTCGATGACGACTTCAACGCTTAGGACCCCCTAGGCAGTTCTTGGAAGCTTTGGACGCCTTCCGGCAGTTCATTGCTAATTTTTTAATTGGAGCATATGATTTCCCCTTTCCCCCCTCCCCACACTCTCTCTCCCGTACTTCTCTCACCGTGTCGGACCACACGCATGCCCCTGCCGCCTCCGCCCATGGCCGCTTTCAGGATGACCGGGTAGCCGTACTTGGTGGCAAACTCCTTGGCCTCGTCCGGGGAGAACAGAGGCTGGTTGGTGCCGGGGACCACGGACACACCGCACTCCAGAGCGGCACGGCGGGCAGCGGTCTTGTCGCCCATGGCCTGATTAGGAAACGAGAACGGGGGGGCCGGGAAATCAAGGGAAGGTGTGTATCTGGAGAAGGATTGGGCTTATTACAGAACTCACGCTCTGAAAGTAGAAACGGAGAGGAATGGAAAAAAACAAGAAATGTGGGAGGAGGGAAGGAATGTAGCAGCTGAAGACAGGCGTCAGTTCAGGTCCCCACCCAGGTTTGTCCAATCCCCCCTCTCGCTGGAACAACCTGCCAGGGCCAGTTGGCAGTTAGGACAAGTCAGGGATGCGGATGCAGCAGCCGCCAAACTAGGGGACCCCATCGGGCCCCATGATAACCAAAGTCACAAAAGCCCGTTCCCGTTTCACAGCTGGCCCCCCTCCTCCGCGACACATCCCTCCTTCCACGCGCCACACGGGCCCCCGTCCCATCAGGAACACCCCCACACCTCCATTTCATCAACGTCCCAGCATCGTTCTCTAACTTCCGCCATCCTTCCATAGCTAGGGTTAGGCTGGAGCGTCAACGTCAGCAGTTGGCGTTTTGGTTTCTTCTTGCGGACGCGTTTGATTCCCCCCCTTTGACTGGCGACCACCCGACCAACCCCCGACCCAAATGATGATCTCTCCCCTCCCCAACAGCAGCAGCGTGGATGATGATGTGACCCAGTTCAACCTCTTGAAATGCCCCAGCGCAAACTTCCACTTCCAGGGTTTGGCCAGTGGGTTCATTCCATAAAACACAGAATACTGGCCCCAAAAGAGGCCTTAAAAACACTTTTTCCACACTCTTGCTTGGGATGATATGGTAAATCTACGGGCTTTCCCTCACCTCCCCACCCTTCATCCGGTCCGTTCATCCACCCGCCGGCCAAATTTCCGTACCCACCTCGATGGTCTCCGGCTTGGGCCCGATGAAGACAATGCCCGCGTCCGCGCACTTGCGTGCAAAGACGGCATTCTCTGACAGGAAGCCGTAGCCGGGGTGGATCGCGTCCACCTCGGCCTCCTTGGCCACGCGGATGATGGTGTCCATGTCCAGGTAGCAGGCCACGGGCTGCATGTCGGCTGTGCCCACGCAGTACGCCTCATCCGCCTTGTAGCGGTGCGGCTGGAGGCGGTCTGCGGGGCTGTAGATGGCCACCTGGGTCGTGCAGAGGCCCGGAAGGGGGACAGCGGCGGAGGGAGGGGAACTCACTTGGGTGAGAGAAAGGAAGAGATGAAGGGGGAAAGGGAGGGGGTTTCACGTGACGGAAGATGCAAGGCTACTACTGACGATGCTGTGGGGTGTAAAGGGGGTTAATGGGGGTGTTTGGGGCCGTAGGGTTTTTCAGGAAGTGCTGGTCGTGCCGCGCAAGCTGGCTGGCAGAAGTGATGTGAGTTATCAGTGGCGGCGAACTGGGAGAGTGGCAGAGAGTAAGAGTGGGTGGTGTGAATGTGGCGCCTAGGTGGAGGGGTTGGAGTTGGGGGAACAGGCAAGGGAGGGACACAGCCGCGCGACATGGCAGCACATCAGCAGAGGGGAAAACCACCATGTGACACGGGTGACACGGGCTTCCTGGGTGCTGGGTTTTGGTTTGACTGTTGGGTGGGAACCCTTCGTAGGGCAAACACGAGCTCTGTTCGGACGGTGGTAATTTAATTTGGGTCAAGTAGTTTAGTAGGATGCTTTGTGGCCGGGTCAACGGTCGATGGGGACAAGGGAGTGGAGGGTTTGTAGCGACTGGCGGAAGGAGGTGCGCGACGTGCTGCAAGGCGCTTGCAAGACCATCCAAAGAGAAAACGCAGGAATGGCCCAGGCAGGCCGTCCCGGTAGAGAGATACAGTCCCGTGTGCTGGGCGAAACAAGTCGTTTTGCTTGCTGGATATGGCAGGGTCGGTTGAACCAAGCGCACGTGACATGCATGTGCACCGAGGTGCGTGCACCGAGGTAGAACGCCACGGAAATCCTAAAAACCTTGTGCTCTAAGCAGCCTATATTATATTTGCTTGTAGATTCAGGACGCCGACCTACATATTGATGCGCATGTCGCCGTCCAGCCACAGCAAGTAGCCAACGAGGGAGCTTGAAGACGTCTATTTACGCTATCAAGGCTATACATGCTGAACTTACCGTGCGCAAGCCGAGCTCCGTGCCAGCACGGAAGATGCGGATAGCAATCTCGCCACGATTAGCGCAAAGGATTTTCTTAAAAGGCACCTCGCCCGTGTGCGCAAGCTGCGTTGAGGATTACAAGTCGACACGGTCACTGTAAAGCCGCCGCCGAAAGCTCGGAAAGGGCTTTGCTTGCAGCCTAACGAACGTACCCGCATTCCATCCTCCCCGGCGCCGCGCTGGTCACAGCGAACAACTACTGCACTGCTGCGACTAACAGTAGGAGCTCGGTGCTGCACGGTCCCCGGCTTCACGACAGGCACTGCGGCGCCCACCGACAGCATACGCTCCTGCCTGCTGCCGCCGCCCACGCGCGCGACAATAGGCTGCTGACCATGATGACTGCACACAGCAGAGCCCTTCAGGGCCCCGGGACGGAGCTGCATGGGACGCATTCCTAAAATCACGCAAGCATTCACCGAGGAGTTTTCGCCGGAGGTTGGCGGATTTGTCCTAAAAACTAAGGCCCTCTCCTCCTAAAACGGCCTCAATATGCAGTATGACGACGGTTTTCGAGGGGACTAGACAAATACTATACCGAATGAACGCACAGGTACGCAATGACGACTGGGACGACCGTCGTGGTCATGCCGTGCTAAATAGGTCATAGAGCGACCAAAACTGCCACATACATGTTGTAGGTTTGCATATAGACACAAAAGGCAATTACCTTGTATTTCGGTAACCATGTCGGCGGCGCTCGGCTCTACCGGCCCCCGCGTTGCTCCAGCTCGGGCGGCGCCGTTGTGCCGCAGGGCCTTGCTGCTGCCAGCAGGCCGGACTCGTGTGGTAGTTCGCGCTGAGGCTCGCCGGCCAGATTACATTCCAAATCGTATTGATGGTGAGAAAATCTTTATTTAGGGCCTTGTAAGACCATGCACTGTAACGCATACCTTAAGGTAGATGGGTTTAGCAAAGATCTATGATCCGTTGTGAACTAGGCGCGCATCGGTCGGCAGGCATCGGTCGCTGATTTGCCAGTTGGTAAAAAATAGTTTTACAACGATGACAAGGACGACTGGAAGCATTTTAACACTGTATCCAGTGGAAATTGCGTGGCTCTTGGAGAACTATGGCTGCTTTGCGAAACGTGGTGGCCGCAGCTTCTCCGCAGGCCACTTTTGTGGCCTTCCCGACACCCCTCCCCGCATCTACTGGCAGGCTTCATTTAGGGGCCAGCAACAGCAAAACAGCAGCAGCGAACCTTTCAAAGCAACCAAGCTTTGACCCACCCCGCGGTTCTCCACCTCCCCTTCTCCACTCCTTGACGGGCTGTCACGTCGTTGCTCTGGACTGCGGCAGTTGTGCCTCGGACGCCGGCAGTTGTTTTTTTTACTTTTGCAAACGACATTCCCTTTCCGTCCTGGATTTCCGCCACGCCTGTTCCCATGGCCTTTCCCTTCCTCTCCTCCAAACCCCTATTGGCCTGTCTTCCCGACACCTCCTTCGCCGAACCCTCCACACACTATCTCCATCATGCAAAGCCCCCCGAACACGTCCACACTGCCCACCCGCCCGAAACCTCCCCTTACTCCCAAGCGGCCCTTTCCTGGTCCTTTCGCATGCCCAAAACCTGAATGCATATCGGATTTCACAGACTGAGTTGCCGGTTTCTCCTTTCTCAACTCCTACATTTCCACGTCACCTAAGTCCTGCACCCCCCTTCCGTCATTTCACTTCACCTCCCACTTGTCAAAATTCCCTTAAAAACCTCCGTGACCCAGATCCCAACTATGTGCGCATCTTTGACACCACCCTTCGCGATGGCGAGCAGTCCCCGGGCGCCACTCTGACTTCGAAGGAGAAGTTGGACATCGCACGCGGCCTGGCGCGACTGGGTGTGGACATCATCGAGGCGGGCTTCCCGGTGGCCTCACCAGATGACTTTGAGGCGGTCCGGACCATTGCCATGGAGGTGAGCAGGAGCGCAACGAAGCGGGGAAGGGAAGGAAGTATGAACCCATCAGAAACTCAATATACGAAGTGCCGATGGACGTTGGGGTTGGAAACGATCTGCCAAGGTCGGGGGGAGGGGGCAGTTCCGCTCTGGCAAGGGAAAGGAGCCGAGTCGCTGGAGGGGAAGGAAATGAAGAGCTCGGGAAAATTTTAGAATCCTGCTGGTGCCATGGGTGAGACGGCGGGTAATGGAAGATGACCCGGAGAAACGGATGGAGTCCGGGTGCGGGGGAAATGAAGCACCTGACGTGAGCCATGGCCCGTGGCCAGGGAGCGGCAGGACGGGGGAGGGGGAGTCTTGAACCCCTGGAGGAGGTCCTGGTGACTGCAGTGCGGCGATGGGTGGGTTATTGGGCTTCAAGTAAACGAATGGATTGCTGGCCCCCATCAGCGGCTCCTTGGGGGTTGCAGCGATGGGGGGCGAAGGGGGCGATCTTTCGGAGGGGACGGGAAGGTTTTAGGATGCAACCCAGATGCCGTACTGCTAAGTTAGGATGCGACCCAGATGCCGTACTTCTACGTCCTGGGGAAGCGATGTCATTTGAGTGGTACGGGAACATGCAGGAAAGTCGTAGGGACCTGAGAAGGCGCGCATGGAACTGCGTGGAACCACTGGCGTTTGCTTCTCGCTGCTCGGCCGCACGACAGCGCGCTTTTCCTTCACTGCTTCTCACGCCGCCTCTGCTGTGGACTTGTGGACATGTTGGAGCCTTGGACTTTATCAGTTCTTTCTGCATCAGCACCTTTATCACAAGAAGCTCCGCGCGCCATCCTTTCCTTTCCCATTTAATTTCCCCCGTCCGTATTCTGCCGCCGCCAGGTGGGCAATGACGTACAACCCGACGGCTACGTGCCGGTCATCTGCGGCCTCTCCCGCACCAAATTTGCCGATCTGGAACGCGCTTGGGATGCCGTCCGCCACGCCAAGCGCCCCCGCGTGCACACTTTCATAGCCACCTCGGACATCCACATGAAGTACAAGCTGCGCATGACGCCGGATGAGGTGGTTGAGAATGCCGTTGCGGCTGTACGGCACCTGCGCTCCCTGGGTTGCAACGACATTGAGTTCAGTCCTGAAGACGCAGGCCGTTCTGATCCGCAATTCCTGTACCGCATTCTTGGGGAGGTGATTAAGGCGGGTGCTACGACGCTGAATATTCCGGATACGACGGGATGGAATTTGCCGCATGAGTTTGGAGGTCTGATTGCGGCGATTCGCAAGAACACGCCTGGAGCTGAGAATGTGATCATTTCGACGCATTGCCAGAATGATTTGGGTCTGTCGACGGCCAACTCGCTGGCGGGCGCTATGGCGGGCGCACGGCAGATTGAGTGTACGATTAACGGTATTGGCGAGCGAGCGGGCAACGCCTCGCTTGAGGAGGTCGTGATGGCGATCAGCCTGCGCGGGTAGGTCATGTGGGGCAATGGTGGGAAAGGGTGCTAGGGATGAAGGACTTAGTTGGGACACATGGCGGCTACAGCAGGAATAGGGGAGCAGCCGCAGGACGGGGCATTGCTTTTTGTTGGAAGTTTCGGGGAACCCCACTTCGGGGAACCCCACTTCGGGGAACCCCACTTACAACTGTAGGCGACTGCCGGTCAGGTTTGGGCTGCAAGAGGTTCCGCCTTACCAACCTCTGTGCATGTCCTTATCGTGTGGGCCGTAAGGAGGTAGAACATTACATCCCCCATGATCACATCATCAAGCAGTGTCATCTTCAATCTTCCAACCATTTCTCTCCCTTCCTTTCGTCGTCCTCTATTGTTCCCTCTTTGACTGTTGCCCTGGATCCATTCCTGCGCCGGATCAATTCCCCCTTCTCTCTCTTTATCTATATCTCTCTCTGTGCCCCTCCACACCCTATATCTCTTGTATCGTCGGTGTTTCGTCTTATCCTCCCCACCCTTATCCCCCTCTCCCGCACCTGCAGCAAGGACCAGATGAACGGGCTGTACACAGGCATCCGCCCCGTGCACATCTATCCCATGTCCAAGATGGTTTCGGACTACAGCGGCATGATTGTGCAGCCGCACAAGGCCATCGTGGGCGCCAACGCCTTTGCACACGAGAGCGGCATCCACCAAGACGGCATGCTCAAGAACAGGGAAACGTAGGTGTATTTTTTGCAGGTGTATGTTCCCGTGCTGGTCGCGTGAAAAAGAAGGGGCAGGGGGGAGGGAAAGGTGGGAAGGGGGAAGGGGCGGGAAAAGGAGAAGGGAAGGAGGGTTAAACAGTGTGTGGCGGGACGGTAAGGTTGTTTGTGGAGCTGGAGGATTGGCGGTCATTTGAGAGGCCGTCGTGAGGTGTTGTTGATGGATAGAACAGATACGTGGAGATCTGAAAATTAGAGCAGCAAAGTCTTTTGGCGCAAGGTACTACCGCTGTTGCTGCAATTCAGAGAAGTACGAGCAGCAGTAGCACTATCTGGCAGAGCGGCAGTATGTCACCGACGCGGTATTGCATCATAATGCCTCAGAAGGAGCAACAGCAGCAGCGACGGGCAGTGGGTTGATCATCGTCATCATCATCATCATCACCATCAGCTCGTGACCGCCTGTGCCACGCGTTGGAAATGTTGTATGCGATCTTCTGGGCTCCACCCTCAAGCAGTGGACTGAGCTCTCCTTCCTCCGGCTGTTGCCAGCAGCTGCGTTGCTGCCGCTGTTGGGAGAAATACTGCTGTGTGCACCGGGGTGCGTACATCGCGTCAGGCGGCATTATGTCTGCGGCGGCGGCATCCAGGCCCGAGTGCTCGAATCGGCTTCCGCCTGGCTGTCGACTGATGCTTGTGAAGCGATGGAAAAGAGATCCGGAAATCCGCAAGAAGCGAATATCTTTCCGCCGCTGGCGGCAGTCCCCCGGAGTTTGTTGGGCTCTCACACGCGCGGCTGCGCTGCGGCTTTTGAGAACCTGGGTCATACATCGCCACAGCCGCCCCGGGCCCCGCCCACCTTGGCTGCAGCAGCCAGGACACACGCCACTCCCCTCCCTGGGTCTATCTCTGGTATCTGCTTCAATCATCTTGGGCTTGGGCCGGAGGGGCGATGTTATAGGTCCGCATCGGTAGCAGCGCATCGGCGGCAGCCCACCCTTTCACCGCAGCGATAGCAGCAGAGGTCTCGCAACGACAGCAGTAACAGCACCAGTAGCAGTAGACTAGCGAAAAGCAACAGCACCACTACTGCAATGGTCATTTGGAACCAGGATGGAGAGGAGTGTGGTGTGTACCCTGATGGCCGTGGGGCCGTGACTCCGCCTGGGCCACGTCCTCCCAACAAGCGCGGAGTCCTGGATGAGTCCTGGATGGACAGATCAAAGCAAGGAGCCAACCCAAGGACACTGCTGCTGCTGCTGCTGCTGCTGCTGATAATGCTGTTGTTGTTGTTGTGAGGACATGGATGCGTTAATGTGCGTGTTTTTGTCTGTATGTTAACGGCTACAGTATCCGCAGAAGTGCAGAGGGTTCCGTCTAAGCCGGGGTGCCATGGACCGTCTGTGTGGCCCTACAGGTACGAGATCATGACGCCCGAGTCGATTGGTCTGCCGCGCCAGGAGCAGGACCGCGGTGAGTTTGGGAATGAGGAGGAATGGGTGAGGGGCAGCTTGATGGGGCATAATGGGGGACTGAGCGGCCTCCTGGGAAGTAAGGTTGCGCAAAGGAGACGGATCGAAATGTGACGACGTACGATTTTGCCCTTTGAAGGTAGGTAAAATCTGAAGTCAGCGTCCTGCTCCTTTACCCACACTTGCCCTCTCCTCTTTTTGAATTTGGCACATATCCCCCCCTCCGGGGCCCGCCCCCCGGGCCTCCACACACGCTTCCTCCCCGCCCGCTCTCCCAGGGATCGTGTTGGGCAAGCACAGCGGCCGCAACGCCCTCAGCTCACGTCTTCGGTCTCTGGGCTACGAGCTCAGTACCTCAGAGCTCGACGATGTCTTCAAGTGAGCCGAGCGGGGGGTTGGGGGACGGGGTTGGGGTCGAGTCGGAAATGATATGCTAGAAGCAGAGAGGGATTAGCTGTCAAGTATTGGGGGTTGGGATCACCCAGGGAACCTCCCTGGCGGAGGGAACATGAGGGGCCGCAGGGCGGTGGTGGTGAGGGACACCACGTATGCGACTTGCGGGCAGCGGGTTGGGCCTCGGGGGAAGGGAATATTGCCTTGGGCTGGAGGAGTGTGTGGCGGTATCGCTACAGCGCTGGGGGGGGTTCACGCAAGGGTGGCGTACCGCGCGACCCTGACTTCTCTTCCCGGGTGTTTCCCTCGACCCCTCCGGTGCCTCCGGTATCTGTCCGTGCTTGGCGCCGCCGCGGCCACAACCCGAACGCTGACCGATTCAGCCCTCACGCGTTCACCATCATCACCAATCACTCACGACTCGAGAGTTGTGGGACCTATTCCGTTGCCTGACCTCGATTTCGCCCCAACCGCGGGCGAGCGTCCGTCTGCCTCGTATGTAACAACTAGTTTTCCTGGCCGTATGGTGGGGAAGCTAAACTCCTTAGTTCTCATTACTTTTCGTTGCTAGTCCCCATGTTACAGATTACCCATACTATGCTTAAAAACTTTGATCCAGGCGCTTCAAGGCTCTTGCTGACAAGAAGAAGGGTATCACCGATGAGGACATCCTGGCGCTCATGTCTGATGAGCTGCACCAGCCCAAGGTCATCTGGGAGCTGCTCGACCTGCAGGTGGGGAGGAGAGGGGGAAAGGAGAGGAGAGGAGAGGAGGTTTGGGTGGGCGGGCCCCGGGATGCAGCTAAATGCACGAGGGGCCAACCGCGACCACCAGACCCACGACCTGCTCCTTTCTCCTGCCGCCCTGCCACACGGTACAGGGTTGAGTTACCCGGGTAGCGGCCAGCTCTCTCCCCTCCCGCCTCTCTTTGCTTCTGTTTGCGTTGATGATTCTCCGTTGCGCAGCCGGTTGCGGGTTGCTGGTTTTGGTAGCTTTGCCTTTCTGCATTTGACTCGCTTATTCTCCGTTGTTTGTTTGTTGGGGCCCTTTTTGCAGGTGGTGTGTGGCACCATGGGCATGCCAACTGCCACGGTACAGATGCAGGGCCCGGACGGCATTGCGCGCATTGGAGTGGGGGTCGGTACGGGTGAGTAGGGCAGGGGCTGGATGATGGAGGGCCCCCGGCAGAGGGTGTCAGGGAGAGGCGTGCCTGGGCGCTCTCGTAACAGAGGCGACGCGAATGGGGCCATGGTCGCCACTGTGAGCGCTTTTGGAATATGTATGTATGTATGTATATTTGCTCTCTGCGCTCGACTCGGTGTCCCGACAACCTGCTTAGGTGTGGCCCTCAGCAGCTCTCTTGTCCTGCAACACCTTGCCTGCTCTCTGCCCTGTCCGCTTTTTGCTGCATTGGGGTCACCTGGTGAACGTTGCTATGAAGTGTTTTTCCCCTCCTTCCCCCTGTCTTCCCCGCCTCCTCTTTCCTTTTTCCCACGTTCCAGGTCCGGTGGATGCTGCCTACAAGGCCATTGACAGCCTGGTGCGGGTGGAGGCGGAGCTCGTAGACTACAGCGTCAGCAGCGTCACACAGGTGGGGCGGGTGCGGGTGGGACACGAGTGCTTGCGTGGGCTTTCGGGCGGGTGGCGGGGCTGATGTCCCCGCTACCCCCTCTTGACTTCCCTGCCCTCATGCTGCCGATAATAACAGCACACCATTGAACAGCTTTAGGGCATTTGAGCAATTAGTGCAGACTGCTGTTGTAGTTGCCGTTACTGATGGTGATGATGACGATGGTGATGGAGATGACGAGGGGCTGTGTTGGGTACCGGGCGGTGCAGGGTATCGAGGCGCTGGCGCACACTCGGGTGATGATTCGGCCCGCGGGCAAGATGAGCGACCAGGGATACAGCGAGCATGCAGCTCTGGGCACCGTGCAGCGCCAGTTCTCAGGTGCGTGTGCTGCATTGAGGTGGCACTGGGTGGTCTTTTTGCGGTGCGCTTCAATCAACCGTCTGCCGGGTGATTCCCTCATCCTGAAATGCTGTGTTATCCTGTTTTGGTTGATTATCCTATCTGTCCGTCCATCTGTCTGTCTGTCGGTTCCGCGTCCTAGGTTCCGGCGCCAATGAGGACATTGTGGTGGCCTCGGCCCGTGCCTACATCTCGGCCCTCAACAAGATGATTGGCTGGATGAGTGTGGCACAGAAGGTAGCACCACGCACCAGGAGCAGCAGCTTGGCAGCCGGGGCAGCCGGGGTCTCTATGGCGGGAGTGTCGGTGGCGTCCGGAGCCTCCATGGACGAGGCACCGGGGGCCCTTACCGCATCGGCAAAGCAGGCGTAGATGGTCCCATGCACAATGCTTCTCGATCTCCATCGGTGCCGGCGGTCCAGATTTTCGCCGAGGCTGTCCCTCAGCAGGGGGGGGAGCTATCTCACGGGGGCCGTGTGTTGGGGGGGGGGAGGAAGGGGGTTAGGGTTTCATGTGCGTTGCAAGAAGCAGAGGAGGGATCACGAGGTCTCATCCACCACAGCGGGCATGTGGCTGATCGCTGCATGTGTCCGGCAGGGTGCAGCCAGGTTCTGGTGAACTGGTGGTGATCTGCCGCGCGGTGGTGGTAATTGCGACGGTGTAGGAGGAAGGGGGGCCTGATGTGGCAAGGGTGAGTGAAGGGAAGCGTCTTTGGTTGATTCGTCTTGGCCATTATTTTCAGATGCTCATATGCTGCGGGGAGAAGGTGATGCTCCGTGGTGAAGTGAGAAGCGCTGCATTTGATGACGCGTGGCATACCGTGGCCGCTGCCGGCATTCCCGTGATGCTGTCGCTGTATCTGTGAGCTTCATGGACGGTGCCGCGCTGGCGAAACTAACAAGCTGTGTAACAGGTTAATAAAGGAAGAGTGACGGCAGTGAGGGTGTGTATTTTGTCGTGAGGGAGAGGAGAATGAACGGAGGGAGGCGTGTACTCGAGCTAGTTGCGTACCGGTAGGAGTGGCGCCGGAACCGCTGTGGTGCTGTGTGCTGCGGCACGGCCGGGAAGCTTGCTGACTGCTACCGTGCAGGTGCTGCTCCTAGGGATCGATGCGCGCATATTGCTGGTGCTGCGGTGCGGGTTGCGGCGAGGCTGTATCGCCGTGTTGCGGTTTGGCGTTGTGAGGAGCGGCAAAACTAGGGCGATGGGGAAGGCCACAATGTTGCGGGCGCTTCTTCCGCGTGTACGTACGCCGTATGCGAGCGGGTGTCGACTTCAAAGGAAACTGTTTGTTTGTGTGTGTGGCTTGTTTGGTGGTCTGGCTTATATAGGGGACGTTCGCATCGCACTTCTGTGCAGTGCGATCTCCGTCCTGCGCTGCCTATCCTGGGATGGGTGAGCGCACACGTAAAGCCCTAAGGCGCGTAATGTTAATGAAATTTTGTGAGGAGCTATCCCTGAGTACTGGCTCGGGAGGAGGGGTGTCACAAGATGTTCTGCGAGTCTACAGATTTGACACCCATCTGTGATCATCACAGTTAACTTCCAATCAGCCTGTGAAGGTGAATTTTATGGAAGATCCATGACACTGAGCGGCGTAATTCCGTGCATCCATATCTTAGACAGCTTTTTTCAGCGATGCTGCTACTTAGACCATAGTGCGCTTCCAGGAGGGCCGGTAAGTGCGCCGCGAAAGGTGAAAGATGCTGCTAGCAAGGAAACTGTTCATGATGTTCGCCTGGACCTGGGACCTGGATGTCAACCTCTGCAGAAGCCTCTCCAAACTCCCAATGACCAGAAGGAAGCTGCTATACAAATATCTAATGGCACTGCACGTGGGTGGGACACGTCTGGCTGGGCCTTGCAAGGAAAGCGGCGAAGGACCTACTGGGTAATCGCGCAGTATCCAACACGTATGGGGCCACCATGGCACCGCAATTCTGCAGTCTAATACAGAAGGGCATAGCGAAGGATCAGTCGCTGAAGCGACCGAAAAATAATGGTAGCGACATCCCGGAAGTGGTAAATGCGTACACGCATCATGCGCAAGTTAGTTCCCAATTGCTGAAGATAGCAAGTTCGCCCTGCTGCGCTGCACGACGCCAAGCGATTATTTATACGCAGACGCTAAACATCAGCAAGCAACTCCAGACGAAACATGTCTGACTTCATCGCTAAAGAAGAAATATTATTTCCTGAGTGAAATCATTGGTAAAATGGTTGTCTCTGGATTCCTTGCAGCTTACTGTGTTCGTATCCCTAAGAACTTAACAACTTCTTGCAGCAAAGTAATTAGGAAGCCAAGACAAAAAAAGAAAGACAAAATACAGATAAAATATCCTATGTTGGCAAATAATCACTCCGGCGTAGTGGAAAGTATTTGCTGTCGGAGCAGGGAACATCGGCCAGGAAGTCGTGCGTTCGACAGGCCTGGAGAACGATGCCTTATATCCTTCTCTACGGCAACGAAAAGCTGCATGCTTGGTAAAAAAAACTTTTTATACGCACCCACACACGTACTCACTCTCCCAGGGAACTGTGTTGACCCATAGTTGACCATTCTGACCAATGTCATGGACATTGACCAGTCAACGCAACAGAGGGAGTGTTGACCGCCCGCCTTTGTCTAATGAGTGAGAGTGTGAGCAGTTCTCCCCTGACATCGGGCCCTGTTGTCTGTGTGACCTAGTCTACATACAAGGTCGACCTGCACACTGAAATCCATCAAGCTCAGGCTTAGGAGCGTAGCCGTGCAAGTACATCTGTTCCAAAGCCATAGTACATCTACCCATAAACGAAAAATAGTTTATAGCGCGTGCATATATTGACGCGCCTTGGTAGATTTATTTGTTATCTACTTGCGCCCTGCGGCGCCACTGCCCTAGCAGCCGGGCAGCCTTTGTACTTGTCAGCGTGCTGCCTACAAGGTACATACATGGGTGTCTCTATAATGTTCTTACAGTTTCATTCAGCACAGTGCTTGGCGTTAATTAAGTACACTTTTGAGGTTGAGCCCGTCATTGATCGTTGGTTTCGCTGGTTGACACTCAGGCGGGCGCAAGGAGCTGAATTGGACCACCTTCACGAGGCGAGAAATCAATTATCTAGGTCGCTAATCTCGATCTGAGGTACGTAGTCGAGAGAGCTACCGGGGAAGACAACGTTGGGTGATCGACTTAATAGCGACACCACGGTCATCTTAAAAGCTCTCCTTCCCTTCTTGACGATAACCACATTTGCTTGTGTAGGTGTCTTAGCATGGCCAGGAGCTCAGTGCTCCTGGTGGCCCTCATGGGCCTGGCCGCCCTGCAAGCGGCCGTTGCCCAGGGACCCGCCCGCGGTGTGTCAAAATGGTGCGCCATCAGCAATCGCGCCACGGCAGCGTGGGCTTGTAACCTGGCTGTTGGCACGTCCACGTCTTGCGAGGTGGGTTGCCTAGGGGTGCTATCTGTTTTGGGAGTTACAGTGGGTGACAGGAATTAAAGCTGCGACCCAGTGAGCCAGAAGGCAAGAACATGATTTAACCTGAAAAATCTTAGCGTTTATTGGTTCTTTCGTTTTATGATTGCCGGTGTCGACTAGTCCTACGAGGCGAAGCGCGGCCTTGCACACCATCGAAGCTTAGGAAAGGAATGGAAAGCGGAGGAAAACGTTTTACCCGTCTATGCGCTTACATCCTGTTATAACAACAAAGTGTAGAGATTCTTATTAAAGTACTCAAAATGTGTTCTTTTCCCGCCTATCATCTTCCACTCTGCAGACATCCGACCTGTGGGCAACCGATTCCGGCGAGTGCGCGGTGCCGAACTTCGGTCAGCCATTAGCAGCTGAGACTTTCAAGTACCAGGACACTTGCCGTTATCAGGTGGCCCAGGTGCCGCTGGTCTTTAACGGCACGTCCACACTGGGTGCCTACCTGCTGATCTTTAAGGATTACTCAGACAACATTTACTTCACTGTGCAGCTTGAGGGCACTTCGCGCGTCTCTGGCCAGGTCGACGGACAGTGGTTGTACACAGAGCCCGTCATTACGGGCGCCAACAGCCCATCTGCTGCCATCTACTTCTGGGATTCGCCCCCCAACACCGCCGTCCAAATTGCTCAGCAAGCACAGCTGGTCAACCTGATGACGGAGGACCGCAACTCCTATAAGCGCTGGTCGTGCTTCACGTACAGCGCCCCAACGACCAACTTCTGCGCGCCCGGGTCCCAGTACAACGGATCGACATGCGTGGCCAGCAGCGGCAGCCCATCCTCCAAGAACCTGGCCCTCACCCCGTCCTCCAACCTTTACATTTCGGTCGTCGTGAACGTCGTCAAGTTCCCCGTGTTTGGTCTGGGCGCCCCGGACACCGGTTTCTACTGCGGCGATCCACGCGGTGATCTCAGCCTGCGCGTCGGCACACTGGTTCTTAACACAACTGGCAACGTTCTGCGCCTGGCGGATATTGCCAGGTTTGACCTGCCCACCAACTGCGCCAACACGCAACGCCCGCCGTCGCCGCCGCTGCCGCCATCGCCGCCGCCGCTGCCGCCCTCACCGGCGCCGCCGTCGCCGCGGCCGCCCTCACCGCTGCCGCCGTCGCCGCCGCCGCCCTCACCAGGGCCGCCGCCGAGCCCGCCGGTTCCCTTCCCGCCATCACCGCCGACTCAGCAGTTTTCCGTCTCCGTTTTCGTGTACCACCCCAACCGCCCCACGCCCTTCGCCGACGCTGATGTTGCCAAGGTCATTCGCGTGATGCGTTTCGCACTGGGCTGCGGTTACAACGGCGACCCCGACAAGTGCCTTAGGTCCAAGCCGTACGCCACCTTCAACACGACGAACAACGCCGCCTTCCCGTTGTTCACCATGCTCGGAGTTAAGATGTTCTTCGACGGCTACTACGACGGGGATATCATTGCCGCTGAGACGGAGCGCCCAGGCCTGGCCAGGGCTTCCGTCACTAGCCTGTACAACAACATGAACGCGAACCTTGTTTGGGCGCAGCTGGCGGCCGCGGATACCGGTCTGAACCTGTTCTGCGGTGCCTACATGTCCCTTGAGGCGATAACGGATGGTGCCTTCTACAGTCAGCCTGGCTTCACGGACGGTGCCAGCGGCACCAACCTTGGCGCGCTTTATGTATGCCCCATCATTCCTAACGTCGGCGTACCGACGGCTCTACCCGCTGACGTAGTCGGCCTGCCCGGCTTTGTCCGTTTGGGCAATATCACCTCTAACACCAACTACGTGCCGCGGCTGTGCAGTCCTAGCCTGGCACAGGGCCCGCCGATGATGTGCCCCATGCCGCCGCCGCCGCCGCCGTCGCCACCACCGATGCCGCCATCGCCACCATCGCCGCCACCATCGCCGCCGTTGCCGCCGTCACCGCCGTCACCGCCACCGAGCCCCGCCAGCCCGTCGCCACCACCGCCATCTCCGCCCGCACAGTTCTGCAGCATCCGCTTCAGCATCATGTCGTCCACAATCCGCTACAACAGCCGCGCTGCCGACTGCAGCGCCCTCGCCTCCCAAGCTAACATTGTGGCGCGCAGCGCCGGAGTGGTTGTACGGCAGCCAGGCAGCTTCGCCTGCAACACCTCCAGTCCGGTTGAGCTCGCCGTCACCGCGGACTTGCTTGACGCCACGGCCGCGCAAACATACCTGATCGCCCTTTCCAACAACGGCGCCCTTTACGGCAATATCGGGCTCATGATCAACCTCCTCTGCGGCGACTACTTCAACATCTCCGCCAGCTGCATTGGCACCACGGTTCCCTCCGTCTCCGTAACACTCCCAGGCAGTTCAACCCCGACCACCGTCTCCTATCCTTTGGTAATCAAAGCTGGCGACCCGCTGTACCCCGTGGGCTTTGCCTTCTGCCCGCCGGCGCCGCCGTCGCCACCCACGCCACCGTCGCCCCCACCACCCTCGCCTCCGCCGGCGCCGCCGTCTCCCCCAAGCCCAGCCCCACCGCCCCGCCCGCCGCCCGCCCTCCCGCCACCACCCCCCGGCTTCACGCTTCAGCTGTCCATCATCAACGGCGACATCAACGACGCCACGACGAACTGCGATCGCTACAAGAAGTGGCTCAACGCTATGTTGACCTCTTACGAGATTGCTGGAATCATCAATCGCGTGGGCGTCATCCAATGCGACCGCCCAGCGGCGGAGACTATTCTCAAGCAGGAGCTGCTGCGCCCAAGTGAGGTGAACATCCTGTACACCGCCCTTCTGGTGCCTGGAGTGATTGGTGCGTTCGCACGGGACAGCGGAGTTCCTTGCGGCTCTGCCGTACGGCTGTACAACCCAACCGGCAGCGTGTTCACTGACTACGCCTGCTCGACCAACTCCAGCGCTCCCACCTACGTCCAAGACCTGTGCTGCTCGCCCCCACCATCACCTATGCCACTGCCGCCGTCGCCGCCGCCGCCAAGGCCGCCGGGACCGTTAGCTTCGCCGCCGCCGCCGAACCCGCCGCCCCCGTCGCCACCGCCGCCGAACCCGCCGCCGCCATCCCCACCCNCGCCGAAACCCCCACCGCCACCGCCGGCTTCGCCGCCGCCGCCGACCCGCCGTCCGCCATGGCCCCCGATCCCCGCCAAGAACGCCGCCCTGCCGCCGCCACCGCCGTACACCAACGCAACCTGGAACCCGCCAGCCAACCTGGAGATCCGTACCTACGAGGTCTTCTCGCCGTTCATCTCCGCCGCCACAAAAACACCAACGTCAACGAGCGCACCGTTGTGTACTGGCTGTGCCCGGCGCTGAGGGCCGCTCTCGCCAGCCAGCTCGGCGTCGCCGTCTCCTTCAAGCCCCACCCGCAGGGCATTGCCTGCTCCGACTACTACACGCTGTCTCGCGCCAAGGGCATCTACTACCGGATCACCGTGGCGGCACAGACCGCGGCGCATGACGCCCTGCTCGACTTCATGAGCACCAGCGGCGACTTCGTGTTCCAGGCCAACCTGGTGTGTGGTGGGCAGATTCGCGTCGGCATGGGCGAGGCGGCGCGCAGCAAGATCGCGGCTATTCCGCCGACGCCGTTCGACCCCAAGTCGACCAGTGACCCGTACGAGTACCTCGTCGGCGGCAAGCCGACTTTGGGTTTCTGCTTGAACACGCTCTAAGCTAATAAGTACTCTTTTGAGGCTTTAAAGCGAGAGGCTGTTTGAGATCTGCATCTCTCTGGGTCTATGAAGACTTCTGTGCGGTTTCGACCGCTTAGCTGAAGGCCGCCGCGTTAGCACGCGCGGCCTTTTTTTTAAGGAGAGCGGCTGGTGAGGAAGCAGGAGGAGGCATGGGTTGGGGTGGAATGGGAAGGGAAGGCGGGGGTGGGGTGGGGAGGGAAGAAGAATAGAGGAATTTTCCCATGCGGTGAGCAAGTGATGATGGCGATGATGGTGATGGTGATTGCAGCTCAGCATTAAAAAGAGAGGGCTTCTAGAAAGGTCTGTTCGATTGGGGAGCAGGCTTGGGGGCTTTATGAGGGCCGGCGGTGTACTCTGTGGGAGCGGGAAGAAGGGTTTGGGCTACACGTCCGCGCACGGGAGGAGATGGCGGTTGGACGCGGCCGGACACATCTTTTTAAGTGGTGCAGTAGCGTTTTACCGTCCTATGCCCGGACGGCAAAAGAAACCAGTGATGAGATTATGATGATGACAATGAGCTGTTTTGGCTTCTCTCCATTGCCTGGTGGCGCGCGACATGGGTAGGAACGAGCATGCGGCGGACAGCGCCGTGTGTCTATCTCCAATAGCGGGCGTCAGGTGTTCGGCGCAGCAGGGTTGTGCGCTTTTATGTGGGCGCTCGTACCGCTTTTGTCTGGACCCGATTGATCTTCTACTCTTATTTATTCAACGTTCAATTCGTTCGCGCCTAGTTGGACGAGCATTTCTGCTTTAGTGAGGAATGCACATTCGCGTGATCCGCACAATAGCATTTTACTGGCGCGGTAGCCAGGTTGATTGGTTTTTGTAACGCGTGTTTGCGCGATTTCTACCGCCTTAGCCTTGCAGGTCTGCCGCATACTGGATGCCATACTAAGATGAGCAACTTTCAGTTTCAACCGTCACATAGCGCCTGTACGATCCTGGTTGCAGGAATCAGTCGAATAATTGCTACTAATATTAAAGTCATGATAATTTGGTGTGATAAGTTAATCAGCTGTGAACCGTCGACCAAAACAGTACAGGATGTCAGATAAGCTACTTCTTGCGGGTCAGAGCACTTAGGAAAATATAATGTAGTAAAAAAATTGAATAAGAAACCTTACTTTAAACTCTTTCTCTGGCGTTTGCTCGGCAATCCATCGCTCTTCGTCCAACAGTAATTTCTCGTCACCGGGCCATGCAATTATATGCATTCTATCTGAGGCATGAGAGCTTGGCGCCTAAAGATGGCTTGTGGCGCTGGAGAAGAGTCTGTCGTACTCCGCCGTCCTCAGTCCCCCTCCTCCTCACCAAAAAGCTGTTCACTTCATGCCCCGTCGTACTGAAGAGGGCACCATGCATGTGGGATTCTCCTCACAGTTCCCTACCCCAACCACATTTCCACATACCCACAATTCATCGACCCCAAGGCAGCTGGCTGGCAGCTGCCTTCCTGACTTTTCCAAATCACTTCTCCTAACCCCCACAAGGCTGTCTGGCTTCCCAAATCGCGCCAAAGCGCCGTGCAAGCACGTGCCGTACCACAGGGTGCAGTAACAGGAAAAGAGCCTGCGTGTGCTTGCTGGCTTGAACGTCCAGACGATGGTAGGGGAAAGTGAAGCCGATGACAGCAAGCAAGGGGTTACAAGAGGGCCCAAAACGGAAAACATCATTTTGTGTTCCCCGCCCCAAGCTAGGTTCCTTGGTGCGCCGCCCCAAGCGATACCGTTCTCATCCACCACCTCACACCACCTCACATAGCTATTCGGCACCCACGCATGCCTCACACCATCACCATCACGCCACCTTCAATGTCATCACCAGCCGCAGGTACGTCTCACGCGCCTCACATTCTCACCTCTTACAATTCGTACGACACTTCACGACGTACACAGCTTTCCCCCTGTCTTTCCCCTCTCTCACCCGGGCGGGAAAACCTCTTCCCACACACCCAAGCCTAGGACGGGGACGAGGAGACCTTGTTTAGCTGTGCGCCGGGGGGGGATTCCTATTTATAGGACACGTTAGCCTCAACCTGGTGTGACACGGCAATAGTGTGTCATGTCTCAAAAAACAAACACGTCCTGTAAGACACAACACACCCAAAAATAAACATCGGGGCCATCCCCCAACCAAACTCCAAAAACCCGAGTCTTCCCCAACTAAGTGCCACACTTTCTCCCCCAAAGGGGAAAAGGAAAAATAGGAGAAAAAGGGGGAGAAAGAAATATAAAGGAAAAAACGGGAATCAGGGCTCCTTTGCTATTTTTTCTCTCTCGGCAAAGCCGCAAAAGAGAAACAGTAACAAGGCGCCGCCAACCACCACACTCCCCGCTTCGTAGTCATTTCATTGCGCAGTGGTGATCGTGATGGTGATGGCGAGATTGCCTGGGGGTGGTGATGCCCCTAGACCCCAGCTGGCCTTGAGCCAATCGAAGGCCGTCTACTGGACCCTAATAGCACTACCCTTTCTTTCGCCCTCCCCCCATATCCGTTTTATTCAATTCCTCTCCCCTCCTTCCCTAACTTCCGGGGCGGGCGCCACGTTCTCCGCCAGCACAGTGAAGCGGAGGGCGCTCACTTCCCGGTCTTCCTTCTGAACCTGCGCGGAGTTGTATTGTGCGAACAAGGCAGCCGGGGTGATGCCGCACCATTAGTACGATGATGATGGTTACCTAGGTACGATGACAGCGCGACGAAGGCAAATGGTGTGACGTCACACATGGGGCGAACCACCAACGAAGCGGCGACGTGGCGGTGGTGTAACGGCAAACCAGCGCAGAGCGCTAAAGAGTATGATGGCAGTGTAACGGCAGTTTGTAGGTATGTGTATCCAACCAGCAATAGCCAGCCACTGCTGCTGCTGCTTCTAATCTGCTGCGGTTACCTTGATGAACTCCGGAAGGACGCGGATGTCCTTGCGGTCCTTCCGCAGGTACTGCCGGGCCTTGCTCAGCGTGAGCACCGCCGCCCGGACGGCGTTGATGCCGATGGCAGTAAGGTGCACGGCGGGGCGGTTCTCCCGGATGCGGGCGGCGAGAGCACCGGCAACCACCTGCGGATCAGATGTGGGTCACAAACGTATGTATATATGTACGTATGTATGTATCTATGTATGTATGTTAGCTAGGTAGCTACCTAGCGTCTATCGCCACCACCGCATCACCCACAGTTGCCTCATGAGGGCCGAACCATACATAACATAAGACAAGGAAGGCACACAACGACGAGGACCACGATGATGATAAAGTCCGGGAGTAGTCACACGATAGACGCGGTCGAGCAACCTCTACCCGGCTGGGCCCCCCCCCCTCTCTCTCTCTACACACACAGACACACACACACACATGCAAACACACATGCAAACACACACACATGCAAACACGCAAGCTCCCACCTGCGGCTTGCTGTCGCCCCGGATGTACATTTCCACAACGTCCTCTGAAGCCGCGGGTGCCGGGGCCCGACCCTGCGGAGCGGGCAGCCGGGGCCAGGGGGGTGGATGGTTAAGATATTGCGTACGGCGCCCCGAGGGGCTAACCCACTACTGCCAACCGCCAACCCGGCTCAACCCAAGCCGGCACGACTCCCCGTCCCTCAGCACGTCTCTCCATTGCCTGGGCCCCCCGCCCCTCAGCGCTTTGCGGTCCGGGGGGCAGCAGTTAGAATGATGCCACAAACCCCACAGACCTGCTCGTTTGTCAGCTGAAAGGACACTCCCATTAGGGGCTTATCATCCGTTGATCGTCCCAGGTCCTCATACGACGGTTTACATGAGATGTCGATGCCGTCGGAGGACAGGTAGCTGCGGCTTATGGCGATTGCCTATTGGGACAACGACAAGAAACAGACGGGTCAGGATTGTGGTAGTGGTACGAGTTCAAGTGAAGCTCGACACAACGACACTTTGGGCGCCATTATTAAAAGTGGCGTTGAGAGTTGTGGGGGTTGTATATTGCGTTTCCTGTCCCTTCGCGATTCCTGGCTTCCGAGTGGTTTTATAATCCGGGTAAGGTGCATCAGAAGTAGCACTAGAGGCGGCTAGGGGTATACAAGGATATACAAAATATGGCTAAGGACGGAGGGTGATGGAGGCAACGGGAGGCAGCAGCGAAAGTAGCGGCAACGCGGTGGTAGTAGTGGTGGTGCGCCATCGGTGTGAGCCATCGACATATCCTAAGAACCCGCAGAACTTGCAAATGCGATATGCACAAGCTGTGCAATGCGATAAGTTGATTGGAATGGGACAGCAATCAGCATTTTACCGCGAGTGGTGTGCGTGCTTTTGACTCTATAAATGTGAGCAAGGCAAGTCGCGCGGCGTAAAACAGTTTGCAGCACGACGAAGGAGAAGGAATATGGTTGAATTAGCTGTGCGTCACACAGGCAGTGAGCCCCACATGAGTTGATGCATACCTTCGCCGCCAGGTTGATGCATTGCGGCCCGACGCATCTCACAGTCGACAGTTTACCCTCGCGCGCACTGAAGGCAATTTTCCCGGCAATAGAATTAACGTTGCCACCTTTCCCAACCTGCGGTCCCGAGAAGAAGGAAAGGAGTTTGTATCGGAAGGCGGCTGCGTGTCGCCCATTCCAACGCTGTCCTGAACGGCAGGTGCTCTCACCTTAATCGTGACTGTTCCGCTCTTCTTTCCATCAACGGTTTTCTCGGGGGCAGATACCGTTGCGGACTCGAGAACCTCACTGACTGAATACAATTGGAACACCCGAGGCCTGGGAGCTATTGCAACACCAATATGGGCTTTTGCTAGGCCAATTTGAGCAAAACTGCGGGGCGCAGTCGATGTGCCTAGAAGCAAAGAGAGTTGCAGCCTGTCACGATCAAGTAAATTAAGCAGAGCCAGCTGAATAGCGTCATTGCGGTGCATCATACCATGTGCACGACCGGCGACAGTGATGCCGTCCGGCCGAGTGGAGCTCAGTCGCCGCGAGATAAGCAACGAAGCCGACATTGTCAAAGAAAGCAAAGGACAAAATACCACAAATGACTTAATACAGGAACTAATTACCAATCAACCGGGCTGTTAGCGAGTTTCATTGAATAAATGAATGCTCGTCCAGCTGCCCGTAGCCGTACCACAATGCTGCGGCTCAACCTGAGCAAGCCACTTCCTTTTCCCTAATAATTTTGCATGAGTGGTAAACCGACATCTTGTTGGAATCTTGTTTGCATGACTGGTGCCATCGCCTTGCAGCCCTCAATTGCAGCTGTAGTACCGCCTACTGGCGTCGACTAACGCTCCACGAGCTGGCGGTTCGTTGGATGCCAAGGGCTTACTGCAGACTCTACTAGTTCTCATCCGTTTGCCATCACCTTGGCTTGGTAATTTCGTGCCCGGGCTCTGTCTTGTGGATTGTTTACTTGTCGGCGCCACCACAGCCTCAGTGGGCTAAGAAAATCGAAGCACAAGCACCACTGTAAAACCACACACAAGTTACAAAAATCGGCGCGCAGATCCCAAGGCCCACTATGGCCCACATCACGCTACCTGATACGTACCTCAGTGCAGCCCGCCCAAGGACTACTGCTAGCGCATGTGCACATGATGTCCTCTTGGAGTAGGTCTCGCCCGTCCTTTCCCTCCTTCACAAAGCGCAAATTTGTATGACGTAATTTGTCCAGTGTACGCATGTATGTACGTACGCACCAGCAACGCGGCCCTCAAAGCATGCCGGCGGACAGCGACTCCGACCGATTCACTGAAGCCCTGCTGTGCGAGAGCGATCTCTCTCCCGTCAAGTACAAAACCGATATGCGATGGCATCTGATAGTTCGATAGCCGCTCACCGCAAGAGGGTGCATCGCAGCGAATCGGCAAATGTATAGCATATATAGCTGTAATTAGTTAGCCCTTGCTGCAATTGCCAACATGATGACGATGCGCCGCGGTGCGCCACGGGGCTCAGGCCCCGCCCATGGCGGCCGCCGCGGAGGGATGCGAAATGGTCGACTTTAAGAAACACCCTCATCATGTTCCGCAACATCATCATGACTGGGTAATCGCTTCTACAAGTAGCGGATGGCGGGGCGGAGCCAACTCAACTCACACAGTTCTCTTTCAATTGGGGACCCAAACGCCTCCATACTTGTCATCATACTTGTCGCGGTGGGCACCTTCCTCTTCCTCCCTCCCTGCCTCTCCCCCTCCCTCCACCAGCCGACGACAGAGAAAAGCGAGCATAGTACGACATGTGATCCATCCTGACAAAGGCACCACCACATGCACGTGCGAACACGCGCACGCACACACTACCTGCAGGTAGATAGGACCCCACCGAGGCACACACAGAAAAGGTGGGGCTATATCTGTTAATAACGCAAAACGCAAACACCAACATGCCCGCCCTTCCCCTTTTTGTTAGGCAAGACATGGTCCCCGTTCCAACCGCTCTGTGTAAAAAAAACTATTACGTAATGCAATCATCATCACCGGGCTCGCAGCGGTTTCTTTCCTCAAATCCACGTCTTCACGCAGACGCCGCCATGCCCCCGGCGCCCCCATGCGGGCCCCCACTGTTTCATCAGTCACAAAAGCGCACACTTGTCACTTAAAAATTGCCCCACTCAAGCCATTCACCATAAATGCAAAGGCAAGTTGTAGCGTTAGCAATGCCAATCAACATTGGACTTCAAATTAGCTATGCATTGGGCCCCCCCGTCCACCAAAAGCCTCCTCCTCCGGGCAGTATCCATGTCAGTCGTCCGGCTGCGCGGCTTCTTCCCGCTTCTGTGCGTTCCCACCACCGCTGCCTTTCCCCAGAGGCCTTCCCCCGGGTCACCTGCCCATCTGGGTCGGTCACCCCTGGGGTCGTAAACACAGAAAAGGCACAAACAAGGAAGCAAGCTGCTGCCTGCCGTGGCGACGATAATGAGTATGAGTGTGGTGATGACGGCAATGTTGGTGATGTGTTCAAATGTTCTCCACCACAAGCGAAAACTTGACGGCGTTAAGGTCGCGACCGTTCTTGTGCACCTGGGAATGGACAAAGCCAAGGTTAGGACAAGAATGAGGGGGGCAGCATTATTATATGGTATGGCAATATCAACATTAGGGGGTGGAAGACAACTGCCCTGACGTCAAAGCGTACAAACGGGCGGGGGTTACGACCAAGAATCGGGATCAAATGGGTTACCATCACCACAACAGCACCAACAGCACTCGGCGAGGGGTGCGTGTAGGAGGGTAATATTTACCCGGCACCCCCCAGTCGACCCCGCATATCCGACCGACCGCAGCCGACCCCCCCAAATCCACATCAACCACCTGCACAAAAGACGGCATGGCGCGGATATCCTTGCGGTCCTGCTCCAGGTACAGCCGGGCGTTGCCGATGGCGAGCACCGCGTTGGACACGGCGTCAATGCCGATGGCGGTCAGGCACACGGCGCGCTGCTCACGAACCCGGGCTGCAAGGGCACCTGCGACAACCTGCAGTCCCAAGAGAGAGAGAGTGGCGGTTCAAGGCCCACGCGAAAGATAAAAGATGGACGTCATATATACAGACATACAGACATGGGATGGCATGCCGGCGTATATGATGCCAAGCTGCAAACTGGGCCTGTAGGACAGCTCCCCAAATTAGCCGTCTTGCAATTGGCACACGGAATACATTCATACATACGCTCCCCTCCTCCCCACTTGCCTGGGGCTTGCTTTGAGAGCCAATTGGCATCTCTACATCGTCCACGGTTGAGATGGGTGCCCGGGACTGGCGGGACGGGGTCGGAGTCACATCCATGCACATGCAGGGGCACGGACAGGAACAGGGACATAGAGGCATAGGCAAGATATAGGACGTCAGAAAGTGGAACATCTGCCTCCCTAGACGCTTCCATTTTTCTCAACATCCCACAAAGTCAGCAGCCTTTCCAGCAGTCTCGACAACGCACACATATAGAACGGTGGCCCTCCTCCGTCTGCCTCTCCGGCGCACCTTGGTCTTTGCCATGTAAAGGGCCAGGCTCTTCTTTGAGCGGTCCGCGTCCCGGAAGGCCGGTTGGAAGGACAAATCCATGTTATCTCCGGTCAGGTAGGTACGGCTGATGGCGATTGCCTGTCGGGGCAACGCCGGGTGGGGACAGGTAGGGAGACGTGATTTCACATAGGCCGCAATTTTAAGTTTGGTGGGTAGAGAATCCAAACGAGCGCTGCGATTAGCTTTTCGGCAGGTCTGATGTCGGTTCTCGGCTCCCGCCGAAACTGCAACAGCGGTTGGCGCGGGAGTCAGACCAGTCAGAATGCGTCGAAGGAGCATCAAATTAACGGATTGAACGCTTTGCATAGCGAAGCCGATGCAGAGCTGGGAAGAGCACGCAATTTCCACATCGGCCTGAACCTGTTGCTTCCACAAAGCAGGTCAATCACAGGAGGGACGGCGCAAACAATAATCATATGTGGACCGCAATGACTTCCTGAGCCTAGCCGTAATTTGGAGCGCACGACTTTACAGCCAAACATCTGCTGTAGCATACCTTGACGGCCAGGTTGATGCATTCCGCGCCGATGCACAGCGCTGCAGGTGGATCACCCTCCCGAGCGCTGTGGGCTATTTTACCAGCAATTGCCTTTACGTTGCCCCTTGCAGAAACCTACGTCAGGGAACTTGTCCGTTGTGAGTTGGGTCCCTCTTCCCACGATGCCAGACCACCACAGCTGACGCAAGCGAGGGCACTAACCTTGATAAAGTTTCCACCGGCTAATTCCGGCTCCACCGGCGTGCCAGTAGCTTCCGGGGTCGACTCAATTACACCGAGGTCCTCACCACCGTTCAACTCGTCAGTCTCCATCGCAGCCACGGTTGCGTTAATGTTATATCAGGCCTAGAGCCTTCAGTCTCGAGAGAGTCAGGCAGCCCCCAAACCGAATCAGGTGGCCCGAGATGTCAGATCTTCAAGCCGTAGCGGAAGAAGCGCAAAAGTTGTGCCGAGTGAGGCAAGGAACACAAACGGAACCTCTTAATAACCTGATGGATTGAAATTGTGGAAGAAGCTAACGAAAATGCTCGCATTATTGTAATATTACAGTACGGGCAAACCGCCGCAACCAACGATACGGCTGCTCAACCCGCTCCTAAAAGCGAATACAGAACAACGTCCAGAAGAAAACATCGACAGGATATCATCGCCGCAAGTGACTTCCTGGGCCTCGACTGCACAGGTGAGCACTATGCATTGCCCCGTCAGCCAACTAGCCAGGCACCAGGCCCTGGCGCGCCTATAGGTTCTTCCGTAAAGAGATGAATATTGTACATCTCACTGTGCTTAGTCAGGCAGGACTGGTAATCTCCGACACAGAGGCTGCTACTTCAAGGCCAGACGATGCTGAAGCATGTAACAAGAAATATTTGCATTCTACTTGAAACTCATTGCCGAAACAGCCTGTTACGCAAACTACCGTCGATTCCTATCTCGTCCTTCCTATCCAGCGCCTCGCTGCCCGACACGCGCAACCACTAGCTCGTTCTATTGGATTTGCACAGCACGCAAGATACGTTCGTACAGAGGGTTTCCGTAATCACTAATGTGTATGCGCGTAAAACAACCTCAACTTTAATAAAAAGCCGGACGAACCACCTACGCTGATCACGCCCGCGGCAGTACCGCGACAGCGAACCGCCGCACCGCTTCCTCCGCCATCTCGTCGCATCGAGCCGTCAAATCTGCAGGGAACATACAAGCAGTATGCAAGAATCATGTTTACTATGCGAAATTGCGCCGCACAGAAACACTCACGATGAGGAATGCGGGGCCGCCGATTCCAAACTCCGCCTGACGACTGAAGTTGACAAAAGGCTCCACTCCAAACCAGCTGATAACATTTTCCCGTTCAGGAAGACAACTTTAGTAAACCTTACCATCAGAGCCGCCGTCAGCCATAAATCCGCATAGATTAGCCTTTCAGTGCCGCATCATGCCGAAAGCGCACCGTCCCCAGCATGCAACATGTTGAGCACCCCACTGGTCGCGGACATCTATCCCCCACCAACTTTCACAACCGCCGCCTCCCCATTCCCCCAAGCTTCCCTCCCTCCGCGTGTAAGCATCCAACACTCCCAAACGGGCGCCAACCAAACCAGAAGCAACCAAAGGAGAGTGTAGCCTTCTGTACTCGAGATCCCACGTCCCCCAATACCACAACCCCTCAGACCCACCACCAACACGGGCCGCTTTGCTCTCACGCCTGTTCAGCGTTCCGTTCTGACCGCGTGTTGTTCAAACCTCCCCGTGACCTCCCCCCGACGCAACCAGCCCCTGGACCACCGTGTCTTTCCCCATGTCAAGCCCTGAAACCCACCTTCACCCACCCGCCCGCCTTCACCCACCGGCTCACTCGGAGCCCCCAACCCCTACACACCTACACACCTACACACACCTATACACACACCTACACACATACACACACACACACCTACACACATACACACCTGCCAGGCCTCTCAGCCTGCTAACCGGAACCCACTGCGCGCCGTCCGCATCGTCTCCGGGTACAGGCTCCCCAGCAGGGTCCTCGCTCACCGCCGCCACCTGAACCCGGAAACGCATGTGTACGACAATATGCCAGAAATGTACTGCACCACTCTGCCGTACCAACAGCGCGAAACGCTCGTCATTGGCCGGCGTACGGAATACGACTTAATCCGGGTCTGTATGCGGCGTAGAACACCTTTTACAGGACCACTGCTCAGGACTCCGTGGGCCTTGTCCCCGCCACTGGGATTTGGCATCCGCAACCCAGCCAGCTCATCACCCAAACACACAAAATTCGAATCTCGAGAAGAAACACTCTCCCAAAGCAAGTGAAGTCTTCAGAAGCAGCTTGCACCTTCTACCTACCTAGCAGGAATGAAAGCGCCGTCAACTTCGTCCGCTCCAGGTCCCCACTTCCCCCCCCCCAACCGGCAAACGTTTTTTTTAATGACTCCGTGCGCACTTCCTTCCCCGCCTGCTCCTGCTGTTCCCTGCGCCCACCTCGATCACGGCGTAGTGGAAGCGGATCTTGCCATCCGGGTCTCGCGACATGACATCCACCGCGGCGAAGGGCGTCGGCCCGATCTCCACCAAGCTCAACGCGCCCCGCCCGCCGGCAGCAGGCAGTTCAGTCTCCCCTAATCCGCCGCCGCGTCCGTTGCTGGTACGTGCAGCAGCAGCAGCAGCAGTAGCAGCAGCAGCAGCAGCAGCGCCATCCGGCATCGCGCCGTGCAGCCGCAAGCCCGCCTCCTCCGCCACTTCCCGAGCCGCACACGCTGCCAGCGTCTCACCTAAGCTCACGCAGTTAGCACATACACACATACACACACATACAGGAAAGCCGCAAGCGGCCGCACGTGGGGGCCCACCGGGTTAGCAGCCGGGTTTTATAACCACCGGGCAACAATCCGAACCAACGGCACCAATTCGCGATAGGATCGCTTGGGAGGATCGCGGGGCGGGATGTCATCTGATGCCATCTCACTGCCCTACTGCTGCATAGGAGGAAGGTAGGGGTGCCGTAAGCGGTGGAGCGTTGCCAAACATTGGCGCGTGTGATCCGTGGGTCGTAGGAGGACCAGCAATGAGTGTCTGGCTCATCCGACTGACATACATACAAACATGCTATGAAGTCCAGGGGTCCAGACAGAGGCGTCCAGACAGATAAGAAACTGCGTAAGGAGCAAGTACGGCTCCTGACACATGCATCCAATCAAATGTACGGCGGGAACTTGAGAATATGTACGGCGGGAAGATGGAATCGGGGTGGTTGCCGGCACGTACCTAGTTCAAGCGATCCGCCTGGAAAGCACCAACGGCCCTTGTCCGGCTCCTTAGCGCGCCGTACGAGCAATATCTGTACAAGAAGCGGAGCGCGAGGAGGAGTGGGTGCAGAATGATAATGAAGGCCAGTAGAGTGCTGCTGCTGGTGCTTGTGCCGCTGCAGAAGGCGGAGAAGAAACTGGACTGGACAAGAAAACGAAGGCCATGTGAGGCCCACAGGGAGGTAAGAAGGGTATCTGTTGCGACTGGGCAGGTTGCGACACCTTACAGCAGAGATTTATAAATGTACGATCAGGGCTTGCGCTGCATTACAAGGAGCAGCTCGCATCATGGCGCAATACTGTAGATTCAATTTTGAATTTATTACATCCTATTCGGAAAACTTCTAAGCTAGGCTTTTGCACTTTGAGATTAAAGTGTGTGCGTAGCCCTACCTCTGGGTCCTGACCTTGTACCGGCTGCGTGCGGAACACCACCACCCCAACTCCGACCCTTGGTTCCGTCGGATAGGCGCGACTTTTGCTTTTGACGTTATCTGTCCCCGCGGCGGCAGCGGAAAAAGACCAGCAATCCCCACGGTATTGGAACAACTGGCATGAGTAACCGTGGCCTTGCCGTGGACCTGACAGTATTCGTGGTGAGTTGCGTAGGTGTGAACCGAGTCCTTCACTAGGGAAATAGGAGTAGCAATGATGCTACTGACGATTGTGCTTATGCTCACCAGGCGTAAGGATGGTCAGAGCCGTCCTGCTTTGCCGACAGGAGTTAATTGCTCCCCGAGCTAAAGACCATGAAGAGCCTATAGATAGCATGGTTAGTAGTAGTCCGGCATACAAACATGTGGCTTAACTCGTCCTTCATTAACCCTTGCTTCAAGATTTTTTTCGGTATGTTTTTGCTTCCAATTTGCCGTACGGTTTGTACTGAACAGCGTTGCTTCCACGCCTCTATTCGTCAATTCCTTACTTAAACAGAACGTCTGATAAAGCTTACATGAAAGTTGCCAACATTCGTAGAAACCTGGCTCCTTCGTTAGCGTAGAAACCTGTTATTGGTTTTCGCTTCTCTCTTTATCAGTCGCATCGTAACATGGAAGCACCTAAGCCCAAAGCAGATCAAGGCACACTTCTATTTGATGAAGAGGATGGGGAGGCCGCGACGAAAGACCCTCAATTGGAACAAAAAATAAACAAGTAATACTTGCAGAGCCTTACGAAGTTTTGACTATGTTTTCATGGTGATAGGCTTGCCTCCTACCTTTCTGACATCCTCCGCCTGCGGGTTACTCGCTCAGGTATCTGCAGGAGCGAGCCTCGAAGGAAATCTCGATAAAGAAAGTGCATCAAGGTATAACATGCCGTTGTAATTCTTGTGTCCCCGTTGCGAGAAGCCCTGGGTTGGGTTTTCGTGCTTTAACTAGAAACCGGTTTGCAGGAGGAGAGGAGCACACCGGGCTAACGGACGACGAAGCGGACGAAGAGGGAGAGCCTGATTATGATGTAGCTTCACGGATGACGCTGAAGGCGTCCTCGGAGGCCTTTCTAGAGGTACGTGCACCAAAAGCGCACCACATCACACGCCATTGTGGGGCCTTCGAGGTTGACACACGGTATCAATGAGTTTCACGGAATCAATAGGTGGTATCTGTGTGTGTACGTATATGTTAAGGCTCGTGTGCCTGAACCCAATTCATACAATTGAAGACCATAGTTGTACCGACAGCATCAAATGGACATCATCTATCGGGGGAAGGAGCTACCGAGATGCGCCTCCAAGACGCGGTTCCTAGCATATGCTCACTATTAAGGGTTGTAGGAACAGCATCAGTGCATCTGCTCCCCTAAAACCCCAGGGTCCCCGTGCTAATCCTGGCAGCTGCAACAGAATCGTCCCACGCCTGTGGCATGCATTGATATACGCGCACGCCAACAAGCGGGCCCACGCCTCTCGGGCACCTTGGCGCGCAGGTTATGGCAGAGGCGCGACTTCAATACGCGCGGGAGAAAGAAGCTGTGCACAAGACGCAAGGCAAACCGGCCGCCAAGGAAGGCACCAAAAAGTCTTAATTAAGGCGCAGTGTTGAGGAATAGTGCCATTTCCAGTTAAGTTCAGTCAGCCCTATTACGTACTAGTTTTGGGACAAACCGTACGATCTGCACGACTCGTCTGTTTATGTGTGTCCTTAAAGCTCCTGCTGAGAGCTATCCGCCTAATTAAGTGTAATAAACCGTGCTCAGGTTGCTTCGCTGCTAGCTCTCTGTGCAAACGCTTACGACACGGCCCAGCAGAGCCCCCACTAGTTCCTGGTTTATTAGTCGCCAATGGTACATCCAGGCCTATCCAACGGACCTGTGCAATCATTTCGTGCTGACCCGCTATCCAGATTATGTATTTGCGTCCAGCTTTCCTACGGCACGGAACACGTCTCTGCTGTGTGACGCCCTGCGGCCGAAGTACCACACGTGTATCCGCACATGTGGGTGGTGTGCACCTCCTCCGCCATGACAACAGTGTCTTCGCATTCATCCCCTGGGTGCAGATCGGCGGCCTCACGGACGCCCTGATGAAGCTGGTGGAGCAGGAGCTGAGTGAGACGAACGAGAACAAGGATTGGGAGCTGCGTGAGTCGGAGCAGTGCGCCCTCGTGCTCAAGCTGGAAGGATCATGAAGCTGCACGACATGGGCCTCGCAACGGACAAGGATGTGGAGGATGCGGCCTGCGCGTTGAAGGCCCTGCTGATAAGCCCCTACCCTAAATGACTTCTTACAAGGAGGCGGCACAATATACTTACTGCAAGGCTGATTACATTTGCTAAAGGCGTGTTCAGGTTTTAATTACTCAGGCCTTGCACCACACGGCACCACCGCGTCTCAATATCTGTTAAGGCCCCCGTGCTTCCCACACTAGTACCATAGTGTGCTCCAGTATGGGAAGATGGGCAATGTGCCTGTGCCAGATGGTGACGCACTACTACTTTGTATGGGACTTCAAATATGTCGTACATGACGGAATTTCACCACCTTTTCGCTATTTGCTGAGCAGGGGAGAGCTATCCGGGGGGAAAGACGGGGAGATGTATGAGACATGATGCCGTGACGTGGATGTGACGGAAGGAACACAATCCCACAAAAGGCAGCAAACCTGTCCAATTCCTAATCCCGAATTATGCTGATTGCCTGTCCACGGACATAGCCTAATTAAATCTAGGAGGGGATGGAAACGAAGGAAAGAGTGCTGCATTTTCGCCTGCCGCGGAGGTTGCAAACGTTTGCCTCCTCCTAGGGCCGCGCGGTTACACGGCAAACAAGTGATTGCGCACTTGTCATCATCGTACAAAACCGCACCTTGCGCAGAGAAAACGGCATCTTTCAAAGCGAAGGACATCCATACACCTCCGCTCTTGGAAAGAGACTATACGGGCACCGCTTCCCAAAAGTCGATCGCCATCAGGACCACCAACACGTGACCCCATCGAGTCGTTGCCACCACAAAGGTAAATCGTGAGCGCAACCACCCTACCGCAGGACCATAAATCTCATTTGCAGGTCACCCGCCTCGGCGCGATAAGAAACTGGTCGACCTGATAGTGGCCATAGGTGTTGGACCTTGGAGGACACGAAAATCGCAAGTCCCTCCAACCAACACCGACAGTTCGACGCGGATCACCGACACACAGCCACCTACACGGGCCCGAAACCATAAAAACCCATGCAAACCGTTCAAGAAAATCCACCAACATTCTGACCTTTGCAGTTACCCCGCACACCGTACATCTACAATAAAGATACGCACGCACATAAAAAGCCATAATCAGGCACCTCGCTCGCTCTGTCGTACACCATTGACATACTGGTCAACCAACAATCGCCCGCACAGGAATGAATACGCCACCTGCGATTGAAATGCGGAAATGCAGCCAGCCTGCTTTTACCAAAAATAAGCTAGTTTAACCAATAAAGACGTGCCAACGCAGTAGCACTCTACGGTAAGATACAAAAACAGTAACGGCACATTTCTGTACAGACGATTGGGCATGATATGACTGTTAAAGTCGCGGGCCCGGCCAGTCCGCGGTCCTTCTCTTGTGGCCGTTCCACAAGACCACGCCATCGTGTTGGCAATATGCTTGTTTCGCGAGTGAAACGAAAGACATCTATTGCCTAAAGAAGCACTCCGCTATCAAGTTGGCAACACCGTTTCCCCTGAATACCCCCGGGGGAGTGCAACCCCTGATATACACTCCCCGCCTTCTTGCTTGTACCCCTCCATCCGCCACCCCCAACCACTGAGGGTGTCCGGAGACTTTACGGGCTTACGTCCTTCTTAGGACCCTCCTTTTTAAGGCCCATCGCAGTCCCCACGCGCTTCTCAGCGTCAGCTGCCGCCGCGAACATCTGGAAGGCGCTACAGCACCGCAGACGCCGTAATCCCCGTGTCATATCCATCATGCCGTACTTCCACATACCCTAGGCCATAAATTCTTACAACTAGGGGCCTATTGCTCTGAATACCTTCAGGTGGAATTGCTGCAGTGAGAAAAGGGATTGGATCCGCCAACGTTCTGTCCCCGTCGGAACGGCTGTAATGTATGTAATGGCCCTTACTTATAACCTACAATAAGTTTAGTCCGTTTAGAAAACAGCTTCACCGCGCTGCACCATGCTTTCTTCGCTCTACCTTAACCATGTTTATCTTAATAACAACGAAGTGGATTTTTGATTGTATTGAGGATGGCCAGAGAATGTGGGTCGAGACTGATTGAGGGCTGGCGTCTCAGCCACTGGGACGTTGGGTGGACTTTCCCTTTATAAGACCTGACGCCCTCTTCTGAAAGATTCCGGAAGGTTCCAGCAGCCATGCAAAGCTCTGCCGTACCTGCACATTTGGCACCCTACAGCTAGGTAAGTAGGTGGGTGTGAGCTGCTTTTGTCATTAAATGTTGCCATCGTCGTCGTTGTTGTTGCTGCTGACATGGACACTGTTGCTTGAAGCAGCTGTACCTGCAGCGGTAGTAGCGGCTTCCACAAGTGTGGTCACGTCAGCGGACTCAACCGCGGTAACCAAGCGACGCGTGCCTACTGGCCGAGGGGGTCGTAGCGGGCGCGGCGGGCGCGCCGGGCGCGGCGGGCGCGCCGGGCGGGGGGGTAAATCGGGAGTGCGCGGCGGCGGCGAAGGCGGCGACGGCGACAGTGGCGGTGGCGGTAGTGGTGGCGGCGGCGGTAGCAGCGGTGGCGGCGGCGGTGGTGAAGGGATATCTGGGGAGAGCGGCGGCGGCGAGCTCGGCGGAGGCAAGCCTGGTGGTTGTGGCGGAGGCGGCTGGGGAGACGGTGGAGGGGAAGGAGCAGCAGGCTCTTCCGGCGGCGGCAGTGGCGGTGGCGGTGACGGGCTTGGCGGCAACGGGCTTAGCGGCGGCGGTGAGCTTGGCGGCGGTAAGCCTGGTGGCTGCTGCGGCGGAGGCAGCGCTGGCGGCGGCGGCGACGGATTCAGCGGCGGCAGGTCCGGAGGCTGCGGGAACGGGAGCGGTGAGCGCGACAGAGTGACCACATCGTCCGACGGGAAAAGAAGAGAAACCCAGGGGAGCTCCAGGAGAGGAGATTTCGCAGTCAGCGACCCGGGGGGTCAGCAAATTGCCGAAGCGAAGAGACAAGAAAAAGGGTCACCATACATCCCGGCAACGATGAAATGACCCACGCGTGTCGATTTGAAAAGGTTCCCAACGCAGGTTTTTAAAAGGTTTCCATCAGGGATGAAAACCCCCCTTCGATTTTCATTCCCTTTAGGAGACGTCTCCTAAAGGGAGACGACAGAAACCGTCACACGCAATTCACATGAACCCACACCCCCCTAACCAAAGCCGGCATTAACAGAACCTATGCGCTGTCAGCACGGTCAGGAAACACAAAAACACTCTTACATGTATTGTACGGCATACATGGACAAGCCAATGAGGCATCAGCATCAGCATCAGCACTAGCAGCAACCTGCCAAATAGCTTCCTCCCCACACCGCAGGGCTGAGTCCGCGGAAAGGCCTATCCCTAAAACCCCCTGGGTGGTGCCGGGTACGGTACGGGCCCCGCACCACACCGGGACGTCGCAGTACCCCCTAGGAGCACCACCCCTAGCACCACGTACCGGCTGGGAAGGGGGAGGCGAGGCTGACGGCGACGACGGTTCCTTCAGTAGCGGCGGGCTTAACGCTGACGGCGCCAACGGCGCCGTCGACACCGGTGGCGGCGAATCAATAGGGTACAGCGGATCCGGCGGATCCGGCGAGTACGGCGGATACGGCGGGTAGATCCAAGTCCTGGGTGGCGGCGGGCTGGGAGACGGCGGGTTAGGGCTGGGTTGCGGCGGCGGCGACGGCGGCGACGGCGGCCGGCGGCGGCAGACGTTGGCCGGGAAGCCCTGGCCTGTGTACACGATACGACCCGTGGGTCCAACGCACGTGCTGGCGTCCACGACGAGGGAGTCTCCGCAGGAGAGGTTGAAGAAGCTGGCCAGCGTCTCCACGTTGGCTGAGGGAGTGGAGTGGAGCGGGGGGGTAGTGGGGGGGAGAAAGGGAAGTGGAGTGGAGAGGGACATCAAATCTGGTGGGGACAGTGCGCCTCGCTCGGATTGCTCAGGGAAAGACATCCACCGTACGACCATCGTACGAGCAGTCCACACAATCGGGCCGGGGGAGGGGAAAGCGCCGAGGAGGACGGGGGGGAGGAGGACGGGGGGGAGGACGAACCACGTGAACCTGATGCCAAGGAGGATAGGCTAGGATACGTCAAGAAGTACGGAACTATGCCATAACTAAGCGCCGCCTCCCACCGTCGGGCTGTGCCTCTTCATCCGCAAACACACTACCGGCACATGAAGCACCGGCCGCTTCCTTACAGCGCCATCCTCACTTACGAGTGATGTTGGCGTTGGCCAGGAATGCCGCCACGTCCGCACTGGAGGCCAGCACCCCCGTCACTGAAACGCTGTTGCGATCCTTACCCATGTCGCAGCTGAAGGGAACTACGGCAGAGGCACCTGCGTGTGTGTGTATGTACGGGTGCATGTACGGGTGCATGTACGGGTGCATGTACGGGTGCATGTACGGGTGCGTGTCATCAGGTCACGGCGCCCCAGTAGTGGCAAGCAATAATAGTGACACCCAGACGAGTGTATGCGCGTGTGCGTATGTATGTGTGTATATGTCCCCCGTGCTCTCCCCTGCCGTCATCCCCTCACACATACCTGGCAACAGGATGACGTCATTCAGCCTCAGCAAGGAGTCGCACGTGGCGTACGGAAATACGGCACCCAGCTTCAAGATGCTCGTTGCAGCTACACATTGCAGCGGCGGTGGTGGCGGCGACGGCGGCGATGGCGAAGGGGGTAACGGCGGCGGTGGCGACGGCGGCATCGGCGGCGGCATGCAGCGCAGCATGGGCATCACAAACCTGAAATACACACGGAATTTTCACACCCACACAACACACCCAGCGCAAAATATGAAAAACGATCGATGTTGGCATAATGTCCTCCTGCGTTCCCCTCCCGCGTGCAGCCCGGATGGCTTCTGCGCTGTCGAATGCGAAGCCCAAGGGTCTTTAGTACAAGATGATGAGTCACTATGTTATCATCCTCAAATGATGATAATAAGCACACGGACTGCCCTACCCAAGTTTTAAGTGGCTACTGAGCGGGCCGGCAACGGCAAGACCCAATTCGGTTGTATTGAGATTGTGGTGGGCATACGGGCGGTCGACATATTCAATATTGCACGTGCCTTTAGAGCGGTAGCCCCGATCGGGGGGAGGCGAGGCAAGCGGGACAGCGACAAAACAGGCGCTGACGCTGACGCTGACGACGGCAGACGGAAAACCGCAGGAGGAGGGTAAAATTTCCATTTGCAGAGAGATACATGGACACACCTATCTATTGGCAGTCGCATGCTACAGCCCCCCGGCCCCCCTACAGGCCGCACATGCCCATCCTACACACCTACATACATACATACACGCATGCACAAACACACGCAGGCAAATGACACGCATACCGACACACACACATATGCACCCTCCCCCCCTTCCACACACACACAAACACAGACACGTACACGGACCTGCAATTCGCGGCCTGGGCGGCATCCCCGCACACGCTGTAGCTCTCCCCAGCGGTATCCGAATACGTGCCCAGGGAGCCGCAACCCACCGCCATGGCACCCAGCAGCCCCTCCCACGACCTGCGCGTTGAGGGGGAAGAGGGGGGAAGGAAGGGAGGTGGGAGGGGTGTATGGCGGGAAGGTCGTTAGGTTGTTTGTCGTTAGGTAGGTTGTTTCCCGGGTTAAAGACAAAGGAAGGCCCCGAGGTGAACTACACGCTGACGGCGGGGGAAGGGGGAGGAGGACTGGGTTTTACACACGCCGTTGGTACCCACCTGCTGTTGGCCATGCTACCGTTGAAGCCCGTCAGGCCGGTGCTGGAGGGGAAGGTCAGCCGGAAAGCCAGCTCGGTGCCGGCCCCCTGCGGACGGTTCTGGAGCGAGCAGGAGAAGCTGCAGTGCAAAAGGGTTGCGTGTTTTAGTGGGGAGGGGTTAGCTTGGGGGTTGGATTGGGTTGGGGGGAGGGGGGATTGGGGAGGGGGAAGGGGTGTGACGAGGAAGGGGTGACATAGGGTGCAGGGGCAGACAGAAGTACGGCCCGGGCCGAGTGGGAAACAATATATACATGTACATGTATATTCATGAATATATATGTATGTGTGTGTTTGCACGTGTATGTATGTATGTATGTATGTATGTATGTATGTATGTATAGTATTAGAGATGAATGTCCGAGCACCCGCCGCCTACCTCTCTGCCGTTGTCACGTAAAGGGGATATAATTGTAAGACAGCCTGGGAGCACTGCACAGCTTGCACCAGCGCCGTCAACGGGCTCCGTACAATAATAACGGCCTCCGTCACCGTCACTGCCGGCGTCGCCGCCGCCGCCGGCGGCGGCGGGTACGTTGGCACCCCGTCATGCGTCAGCCGCCGCTGCCGCCGCGCCAGTGTTGTAACTGCAACTGCCTCCAGCGCCGGCGGTGCCGAGGGCTCCCAGCAACCGCTGCGAATTGGACCGCCGCTGGGTGCCGCCGGCGCCGCCGCCACCACCGCCGCCGCCGCCGCGGGGCCATCAACAGCAGTGGACGGAAAGCGTGTGGTGATTGTGACGGAGCGGCCCTCCTCCAGACCGCATCCCGCCCCGTGGGGCTGAGTGAGCGTCACGTTGAGCTGACGGTGACGGTGACGGTGGTGGGAAGGACGGGAAGGACGGGAAGGACACGAGAAGAGATCATGTTTGTTTCACGTGTCCGTTTTTAACCGTGAATTGGCGCTACCATAGTCGACCCGCATCACAATGAGGAACCAAGATGATACCCAGATCAACCCAGATCGGCTCAGATCGACCCAGATCGGCCCAGATCGGCTCAGATCGACCCAGATCAGATGTTTTATTCGCAGCCGACCCAAATCCCATATGATGATGAAACCCTCCCTAGGCAAACCAACCGATCCACCACCCCCACAAATCCACTCAGCACCCTCTGTACCCTCCCCCCAATACTAGACGATAGCACCCACTCCCTCTTCCTCACTCTCCCTCTCCCGGGCCCTCCCCCCCACTCCCTCCCCCCCACTCCCTCTCCCCCACTCTCTCTCCCCCACTCTCTCCCTCTCTCACCCTCACACACACACACACACACACACACACACACACATACACACACACGCACACACCGTCGTCAGTTTTCCATCCACCCCATCCACCCCAACCACCCAGCTGCAACAAACACCATGCTGCAGCTTTTCCTGCGGCGCTTCCTTACCCGCAACGAAAAGTACAACATTGCCAGACGCGACAGGTCCAGGGGCGGGCAGCTGAAGCCCTCCATGCCGTCTCGACATGCACACGGGTGAGCTCCGCCGCCTCCGATGAGGTCCTCCAGACCGACCTGATGACTCGTACGCGGGTCGCAGACTGAACGCAGGTCCAACGACCACGTGAAGCAGCTGTAGGACGTGGCTGCAGCGGGGTCTGCTGTACCGGCTGCCGCTGCCGCCATCGACACCGCCGCGGCCGGCGCGGGCTGCCGTACGAGGAGGGAGTACTGGCCCCGTAAACTCCCCGTGTGCGTGTGGAGGGACGGCGACAGCAGCAACGAGGCCGTGTCTCCTGCGAGGGTCAACGTGCGTCAACAGAGAACGTTCGTGGTGTGTGGATGATGATTGCGGTGTGCGGATGTTGGATGGTGGTTTACGGCGGGGTATGGCATCCATACATCCACCCATCCACGAATTTGCCCTCTCCTGGGAGCACAGAATGGCTGCCAGCAAACAACAAGAACAACAACAACAACAAGGACAACTGAAAGCCGATCTCAAGCTGGTAAGATTGGTAAAAGCTGGTACTGGGTCCCGGGGACTTGATAACGGCTGCAACCCACCCACCTGGAAGACAACACATGACACGGAGTCGGGACCCGATACTTTGTTCCTGGCAGCAGCTATTAGCAGAGCAGGACGACGTACTACGTGCTCTTTTTTGACTTCGCCAGGTTGCGTTTGCAAGTAAGTAGGATTAATGCTCCGGCGCCTGAGCTTCCCTCATTGGCACGTGAACCACATGCCCTCTACCTCTACCTGGCATTTCTCCGGGCCGGTATAGTACGACAGCGTCGTCCAAAGCATCGAGCACCACCGTCAGGTGTAGCAACGGCACGTCGTTGCTCCGAAACAGTACTGCCGTACCAAGCTGACGGCCGGCGGCGTCGGCTAGGGGCAGGCTGGTGATGCCCTCTAGGCCGCCGCATACGTCATTCACGGAGATGCTGTACGGAAACACCCCAGGGACTCCAGGGATGATGCAATGGTCCGGGGAGCTCCACCACTCGTCCACGGTCTACGGAAGAAAGGGTGAACGGGGGACACGTTTACGATCGCCAGGAAGCCACCGGACGCGCGACAAGAGGACAGAATAGGGAACATGCGGTAGAGGTTTGGGTGTGGCTGGAATGTCCGCGCGGTAACGTCGAGTAAGGAAGTAAATTTTAAGGGAAGAGTCGTACAGACTGCGGTCCTGGCGGGAGCGTCAGGATCAGCTGAGGCAACACATGGAGAACCTTTCTGATGAAATCAGTCTGATGAGCATTGTATGCGGTAAAGGTGTACCCTTCCCACGTACTTGGCAGGCCGTCGTGCGCAGGCAGGCGCTTGAGGTCTGATGGCCAGGACTGAACGCGCACCACTTGTCAAGCCCTGGTGTTGTCGCTACCGACACAGCAGAAAACGCTCCAATACAAACGGCAGCCAGTAGCCAGGAGGTCTTCCGAAGCCGCTGACCAGCTGCCCGTGCCTTCCGAATTAACATTCGTCGATTGCCAGGACAAGTCGGCAGTTGATAATTTCGCGGCGACTGTTAATCTAACAGACAACTCCATACGAAGACATAGCGTGTCCCTCAATCAAGTCCTGTCCACAGGAAAGTTCTCGAGCGGACAAGTCCCGCTATATGTGTAGATGCCGTTATGGTACAGGTAACTTCTGGTGCAATGTCCCAGTTGAAGTGTTAAGTAACGCAACAGTCAAGGAGACACCCATATTCGCGAATATCAAGGGCTAGGAGCTAACGCTAGCTTGATAATCTTGCGTCGCAATTCTACAATAGGTCGTTCATCTTACATCAAGAAATTCTGTCACATGGGTATCTGATGACTTCGGATGGTTTCTCAGCGTTCGCCTCGCACCGAAACCCTCACGCCCGCCCTTTCCAGGTCCAAGCATTCGTCTTGTGTTCAATGCCTCCTGCTTTCCATGGCTGTCGACTACATACATAAGCATGTACTCCAAACAGAAGTCGCCAATTGGTGTCTACTCTGGATGAGCGGACGGAAAAGCTCCTCTCCTCTCTCCTCTCTAGCGCCGTAGGGAGCGATAGAATAGGAAAAGCCCACGTCCATTAGCGCTACCCCACAAACCCAAGAAGCAATTGCTTGTACTGGCTTGGGACATCGCAGCCTATCTAATTCACGTGCTGGCTGAGTAATCTTTACCCGGAATGCGGGCAACCCAAAACCCTGCCAAAACCAATACAGCTAGAAACCTAAAGTGTGACAAGGAAAAATGTTCGCAACTGTGTGACAGCGACCACGATGTATATCCCAATGCTCGGATGGAGTTACCACGTGGCGCTGGGCAGGTATCTGTAGCCCTTCAAAGCAAGCCATGCAGCATATGCGTTCTAACGTAGTCAGGTTTTTCATGACCATCGGTACGCGAGCATTGTTTGAAATGTTGCACGATAAGCCCCTAACTTATGTTCTAAAGGCTGTTCTTTAGGTATTTTTATTCATATAGACGCGAAATACGACATCCAACGGGTCCCTCAGCGCCCCCTGTCAAATCCTTTCCACTTTGGCTCACCCTCAATACGCCCAGCCAGCCCTTTCTGAACGCGCTTTTTTTACTCTCCTGGTGCACGACCGGCAGGAAACCCGAGGCTGTAAGCTATTTCAAAACCAGTACGCTGCCGTGCGCAGATTTGGTGCCCCATGCGCCCGCTGGGGTGCTGGAAGGTGGTAGTGCAAAGACTGTGTACTACCCAACACCTCACTAGTGTTTTCACCCCATGAACGCGCCAGTTTGCGTAGGGCATCCATGGAGAGCATCTAGCGCAACGCCACCTCTTCAAATGGTTTCGGAGCACGTCGTTTGAAAATGTGTACAGTCATCATAATGAAGCCCTGTTGCAAACGTTAAGTCTTGCGAATTTCTGCCAGAAGTCAGGTTAATATTCAAATACGTCAAGATGGTGAAACACGCTAAAGGTAGGTAACGTCACCCAAGCCAAGCGCCTACCATGGTCTCCTGCACCAATAGGACAGCCGCAAATAGACCCTGTGAACCGTCATGAACGTCATACGACATACCTATGTGGCGCTAACAGCGACACTGGCATGCCGTACATGTTTCTATCACGCCTAGCAACCTACTCCCCTTGCCATGCCAAAACGAGCAATTGTAGGCGCAAGGCAGTATGGCAACGTCGACGACTACAAATTATGCAGCCGTCCTTTCGATGTAACTGCTTTCCGCACTGTCCGCACGCCATGAATCCCTTAAACGGAATTAACGACATTACGATCAGTCACTGTAATCATCACGTAGGGCTCCCACCCTCAGGCACTGCGGTTTGTATAAATCCCCGGTGCCGTTGCGTAATGTATGTTCAGCGAAGCAAGTTGTGCACGAGCAGAGATTTATTACACTGCTTTCAGACTTCAATCTGTTACAGCGGACCCCGAACGAGTGCATCAGCACAACACTGTGGGGCCTATGCTCTCAGCAGGGGCTCTAAGGATACATAAGCGAATGAGTCGTGCAGATCGTACGACTCGTCCCCAAACCAGTTTGCAACAGAGATCGGCAAACCCTGAATACCTGTCACGGGTACTGGTGCCAGGGTCGAATAACTGTATGGAAATGTTTTTGGTAAAAGCCGAGGAAAGAGTGTCTTCGGGCCGATGTACCAAACTTACTACGTTACACATCGCTGTTAAAGCCACAGTTGTCTTGTTGCGCCCAATTACGGAGAAGTTTGTTCATCAAGTCCGTCACTTAACTGCTCAATGCATCAGAAGTCGTATGCGAGCACACAACCACCCACCGACCGCACGATTACCTCAGTGTTATCTGAGCAATCCATCACTTCTACTCTGCATAACAACGATGCATATCTTCAGTGGCAACCTCCGATCCTAGCCTCCTCAGTGCACCAACATGTGCGACACCCGTGGGTCACGGTTGATGTTCTCTACCTGTGCCGCAATGGACTGGTAGAGGTGTATCTTGGTGCCGCTATGGTACGCGATCACTGCCTTTGCGAGAGCCTCGTGCTCCTTCATCACGCTACCAGAGGTATTGAGCTTAATGAACAGGCTCTGATCCAGGCTAGTGACCGAGTGCCTGGTGTGCAGTTCGGTCTTCAGGACCGTGCACATTGAGAACACCCGCTCACAGTTGACAGTGGTGGGCTTAATCATCGCCACAAACAGCGCCAGCCTGTACAACTGAGGGACATTCCGCCGGAGCCCCCACAATTTCTGAATCACCACATCTAGATGGTGCTGCGGCCGTGCACGGTTCCTAGAAACCTTCTGCGCCACTTCATGGGCCGCTTCGTACCCCAGCGAGGCATCATCAAGCAGCTGGCTTAGCACAGCCCTCTCCTCCGCGAAATACTGCACGTAGGCAGCGTGAGCCTTTGACGCCTCTTCCTTCATTCCCTGCATGCTCACAAGGAAACCCACCAACTCCGCCTTAGCCTGCCCGAAGGAAATGACCGGATGGCACTCGTGTGTGTGCACCTTAGCCTCACTGCGAGATGTGAAATACTCATGGATAACATTTAGCTTCTCAATGCCCCATTTGACCAGGCTGGGCTGGTCAACATCGGGATACTCCAGGGGATCAAATAGGGCCAAAGCACTGATGAACCTGGTATCAGGAAACCGCTCATTGACATGGCGAATGAGATTTGCGGCATACTTAGAGACCAGCTTGTGCACCTCGGCCTCAGGATGAGCGGGCACATTGTGGATTGCGTGACCCTTGTACGACCCGAACCCCGTTGCCTTCATCTCGGCAAAGAACGCTGACAGTGCAAGGGTGAGGTACTCTCCTGGCTCAACAGCTACGTAGCACGCATGCAATGCATTCTTGGTGCCCTCAACACACCCCGGCACATCGCTGAACTTGAACTCAGAAGCCTGCATGAGCTTGAACATGGCATCCGTCGTTCCCAGGACATCAGCCAAAAAGTGAGTGAAGGCAAGCGTAGTGAAGTCAGTCAGCTTCTCGTGAAGGGAAGCAAACTTAGCAGCTTCGTCAGCAGGCTTGCCGCCACACGATGGATCCACATCAACGCCATCATCGTCACACTCACTGGACACGACAGACTCGGTGTCAGACGGGTCGTAGTCACTGTCACTATCGTCAGCTGTTGCGTACGCAGAACTGTACATAGGGGGAGGCGCGGCGGGAGGGGGCGGTGGCGGAGGTGGTGGGGGAGGCTGTGGTAGAGTTGCCTGCTGTGCCTGAGCTAGCTGAGATAATGTACGGCGGATGTTAAGGTCGATGATGCTGACTTGGGCTTTTAACGACTCCTGCAAGGGCTGACGGTTAACTATCTGCACCCTGACGTTGTCTGGAACGCCCAGTCCAGCACACGCGATCTGGAACATGGTCGAAAGACCCTTTAGGATGGCGTCGACGCTTTCCTGGCTACCAAGCTGCTGAAGTAGGATCACGCGGACAGCTGGAGACGCATGCAGTAGGGCCTCGTAGTACTCTGCAAGCTCAGGTGATGATAAAATGCCGGCGGGGACGGCGGGGGGCTGACCCGCCGGCTGGGGAACTGCAGGGCGAGGAGGCGGCGGCAGGGCGGTGGCGGGTCGAAGAGGTGGCGGCGTTGGGGCGGCGGCAGGGCGAGGAGGCGGCGGTGGGGTGGTGGAGGCAGGGCAAAGGAAAGAAAGGAACTCCGGAAGCTGAGAGAGAAGGTCTTCAATGCACTTGAAGCGACCGCTCCACCTGCAAACATGAAAGGAACACGTGAGCAAGGATGTTAATAGCATCTGCATCTATACTGATTGACATCCCCTGGTACCTGGTGGCATTGAACACCTTCAGTGTCCTAGCAGGCGTAAGAGCACCGATGACCTCGCGGACAGCCAGGTAGTTGAGCCAGCGCTCGGGTGATTTCGAGAAGACCTTGTGTGCTGCACGGATAACAGTGTCGACGGCTGCAACCGCGTCACGTAGCATCTTTGGGCTGCTGCGCTTGGTGCCGGCGTCCTTAACACACAAAGCAAGGCGGTGACTGGCGCAGTGAACGCCATAACAAGCGCTGTTGACTTCCTTGCGAAAGAATCCAAAAACACCCTTCTTCTCCGAGGCAACGGCAGAGCAGCCATCCCCAGAAAACGACGCGAGCTTCTTCTCCAGGTCCACACCCCGCCGCCTGAACTCCCCAGAGCAGGCGTCGTACAGGTCGCGGCCTGTCCAGCCCGACAGCTTCACAAGCCCAAAGTACTCTTCGAAGATGGTGCCAGTAGAAGGCTCATCGTAGATGACACAGATGGCGGCGTGGGACTCGCCTGCACGTTGGGTGGGTAATGAACACAGTTAGTTATGTGGGAATGGGCTCAGGAAGCAAAGCCGTTCGTTGGTAATCGTTGGTAACCCTAAGTCCTGGCAACCCTAAGTCCAAACGAATTCCCACAGGCACTCCCTCGAATCAACAAAAACCAAGGCTTCCTTACCAGCAATACACGTAGACTCGTCCATCTGGATGCCAATGAACGTTGCGTTCTTGAGACGCTTGGTCTGCTCGCCTTGGTAGTAGTCGTGGATACAAGCTGTGAACCTCCCCAACGCACGAGGATCGTCGTACTTGGTGGTGATGTTAGGGGCGTTGGCAAACACTAGGAGCTCGCATAGCTTCTCGTAGTGAGTGAACGGCATCCCAGTAGCAACGGCGGTATAGGCGGCCCCAAACAAAGCCATCAACGCCTCGTCCCCAATCTGAGTCATGGAGGCCATCAGCTGCTGCTGAGTCTCCTGAGCCCTCCTGTCCTTATAAGCTGTCTCGGCTTTGCTGTGCTTTTCCCCCCTCTCGTGGTCTGTGAAGGCCGAGCGATCCCAGGCACAACGGACTAAGTTGAAATCCTTCTTCTGATGCCATACAAACTTTGTAAAAGGGCTGGATGGATTTGCCTGGAGCTAAAACTAATCCGCAACAGTAATTATTTCGCTGGCCGGGGTAAAATTTCGAGCGCAATCACAGAATTTTAGTCAAATCAGGTTTCGGGGCTGTCGTCTTTCCCATTTTAAACAGTTAAGCTCTAATGCAAACCTGATGCACTTCTAGCGCTCCATGCTAACTAGAGGCGATAAGTGATTGGAAACATGCTGCTAATCCCTAAACCCTCGTTGTCCTCGGCTCATCATGGCGGAGTTCTAGTAAAGTCATGATGTGTAGTTAAAAATACATGAGATGGTGTCGCACAATAACTGCCTGCCACAGTAAATCCTGAGCAAGCTCCGAAACTGGGCGTAATCGCTTGCTTGACTTGGGTCAAGACGAGAACAGGCAACCCTGTGAGATGCGTTAATGCTGCTGAAAAACGGCAGGAGATAACCAGGAATTATGGAAGCCCAGTTTTCGGATGAGGAATTTTCTGATATCTTAGGCGCGTTTGCAGAAGTAGATGATATGTTAATTGGCTGGGATGTCCTTATGACACCTGTGAGAGACGATGGGGTTCCGATACAAACGATGGACCAGCAGCTTGGAACTGGGTTATCGCCCTCTGCCTTTGATGGGCTTGCCGATGACTTCATCTCATCAATCGAGGAAACATGCACTGCAGCTGGATCGATGTCCGAAGGACCACCTGACCAACAACACGCCCCCGCGACCATTTTGGGCCAAACTGCCCATCCCGACCTCTGCACTTCGCAACCCCTCTTTGATGGCGTCCAGTTGCCGCAGCAGTCACTTCCAACCCCTCAGCTTACCTCAACCACGCACATGCTTCAGGAAATCGGGCCCACGCAGTCCACTCCGCAGACATGGTGTAGGACCACGCAGCAGCATCAATCGGAGCAGCAAAACGAAGGAATCCAAACGCTTCCAAATACGTCACAAGAGCTGTTTGGCCCACAAGCCCTGACAGGTATACAAGTGTCTGAACTTCAGCAGCAACAACAACAACAACAGCAGCAGCAGCAGCACTTCCTTCATCAGCACTGGCAGCTGACCCTGCCGCCCCATCACCAACAGCAACATCATCATCATCATCATCAACTACAACAACAACCGCCGCAGCTGCAGGGCATCTGGGAGCAACCTAAAGATGCACCAATGCCGTATCTGGTTCAGACGCCGTCCTCCAGCCAAGCAGCGGACCCATCGAACGGCGCGACAGCCTCTGGCAGCACGGCGCGGGGCTCTATGGATGCGTCCACCGCTGGCGGCGGCGGCGGCGGAGCTCTCACGGCAACGGGCAGCGGCGCCGCTGCCAGCATGTCCAATCTTAGTGGCACCAGCGGCGGCGCCAGTGAGCACGACGGCTACGGAGGCTGCTGGTCATCTCCCATCTCCGCCTCGCCGCCACAACTTGCCCAACCAACAACAGGCATTCGGTGGGCTGCAGGGACGCTGGTGACGACGTCCGCGTCCGGTACGGTGGTCTGGGCGCCAGTAGCGCACTTGCCTCCCTTGTCTATGACAGACCCCTCAGACTCCATCCCGCCTATCACCGCAACCACCACCACCCCTGCCACTGCCACTGCCACTGCCACTGCCACCAGCCACCAGACACACATGCAGCTGACGCCCAGCCAGGCGTCCACAGCGCCCCTAGGGCGGCACTCGGAGCACCAGCCTATCATGTCACTAGCACGGGCGGCGATCATCACGCAGGGCCCCCAGACGGCACCGCTGCCAGCAGGATTTGAACCCGGGCCATCCAGGGATAGAGCATCGCAGGAGCGATCAGGTCTGGCGCTGGGGTTGGGATTCGGGATCGGCCCCAGCGCAAATCCAGCTAACCTATCCCAGGTCCAGGCTCCATTATCCCCAGCAGCGGCCAGCGTCCTCGCAGCGCCCGCAGCCCCGTTCGCTGCCCAGGCGAGTGGAGGCCGCGTGCCCATTTGCGGTGGTGGTGGCACCGGGGCGTCTTGCCCTACAGCAACCAACTACCTAACCACCACCATGCCAACCACCCTTCCAACGGCAGCTGACGTCACTGCTGACACGATAGTGAGTGCTGCTGCTGCTGGGGCGCCTCCCCAGCTCGTCCAGGGTGCAACAGCAGTGTCCCGGCATCCAGCACCAGCGACAACAACAGCAGCAGTAGCAGCAGTAGCACCCGTCGAGGCCATTGCTACAGCCAGAGGAGGCGGCAATACTGCTAGCGGTGTCTCAGGTGCAGCGCTGCTGGCGGAGCTTGTGGCGGAGGCGGCCTCGGGTGGCTGGGCGGCGGTGGCCACGGGTCTGACGCCATTGCCGCCCAGTACGGGACGTACGGCGGACGAGCTGCTGGCGGGGCTCGACCTGCAAGTGTGTGCGTCAATACTCACGCCTTTTAGGAACAACAGGAAGAAACCAAATCCATTATTATTAAAGATTATTATTAAGATTATTATTATTAAAGATATTGCGCTTTTATTGCGCTTGGCGATGGATGGAGAACTAGGAAATAGATGCATGCGTTTTTGTGTTGCATGCTCCTGCTGTTGCACAATTTCACCTTTCCTGACTTCTACTAATATTGATACTACTACTACTCCTGCTGCTACTGCTGCTGCTAATGTTGCTGCTACTGCCACGACCAGGAGGTGTTTGCACCGCCCAAACCCTCCCATGCAAAGCGCATTCGCGGGCACGTGCGGCGAGCAGCCGAGCTCAAGGCCCAGCTGGCGACCCGGGTGCGAGCCATACAGCGGCTGGCGGCGGAGAACGCTGACCTGCGGGGACGAGCAAAGGTCCTGGAGCTGGTCGTACGGTGTAGGGACGAGCAGCTGCGCCTGCTCCGAAACTACCGTACATCCGCCAACGGCCGTGTGTATTACGTGGAGCAGCCGGGACTCCTCCTCCTGGGCGAGGGGGCGACGGGGGCGGCGGCGAATGGCGTTGCGGTGGCGGCGGTTGGCGGGGGCCAGAGTGGCGGCGAAGGTGGAGATAGTCCGGGCGCGATGGTGCCGTACGTTGGTGTAAATGCAGCGGCGCTGGCGGTGATGTCAGCTGAGGGGCTGCTGGAAGTGGTGGGTGACAAGAAGGGTGTGCGAGGGGGCGGGAGGGTGTGGGGCGGCATATTGGGAGGGAGGGAAGGAGGCAGAGGATTGGATGGACACCTCACTAAGTGCGGGCGTTGCTGGGCCCTGACTTCCTTGGAGGCAAAGAATATATGTACGGTAATAACCGTCAGGGAGTACTGGTAGCCAACCAACCAACCGTCCAACCAACCAACCAGTCCTTATCCCGCACCTCTCTCTGGCAGTTCCGGAAGCTCATCCACGACGTGTCGTTGAGCCTGTCCGAGGTGGAGACCGAGCTTGCTCTCCCGAACGGGAGAGCAGCAACATCGCAGACCTGCTTCACACAGACCCACGGGTCGCTATCGGCGACACAGCAACAGGCGCCGCAGGCTGCCACCACTTCAATGACTGTAGCGGGACTGTCGCAGAGCACCGCCACAGCCGAGGTCGCCGCCGCCGAGGTCGCCGCCGCCGAGGTCGCCGCCGCCGAGGTCGCCGCCGCCGAGGTCGCCGCCGCCGAGGTCGCCGCCGCCGCCGCCAGCGGCGTTGATGCCGCCGCCGTTGACAGCTCGTCGCTGCAGCTTGCCGCGGTGCCACAGGCGGCAGCGCCAGCACCCCTTGGCAGCGCCGCCGCGGCGGCGGATACTGGCAACGGGTACGACAGCGCGGCCGCTGCCGCCGCGTCGTCCTCTGGTCCCTTGGCTCGTCTGCGTGATCAGATGGCCTCATTCCGCAATGTGCTGCGCTACTTGGGTTTGGTAAACGAGGCGGCGTGCAAGTAAGTGTGCGTCGATGTGGCCCTTCGCGAAGGAAGGGCGAAGGGGGGGAAAGGGAAGGGGGGAGGGAGGGAAAGACGAGCCACGAACCCGAGTGAAGCTGCTGCCAAGGAAAGAGTGCACAAGAAACAGAACTGACCAGTAGGCGTTCTTAAAGGCGGGAGGGTGAGGGGGGGAAGGTGGTTGCGGCCCTCCTTCTCCTCCCCTCCCCCAGTAGTAGTGCTGTCGGCCCCCCTAGCCCCCATGCGGCCCAGCTGACCAGGACAAATGCCAACAGCAATAACCTCCGAACCACACAGCACCGCACCGCACCGCACCGCTGATATGTCGTATGATGCTGCTGTCTCGACACCCTGTTACAACACGGTGAGCGGCATGTGGCGCCATCAGTCACCCCAGGAGGATCAGCATTAATATCATTATCACATCACACCACCATCACATCACACCACCATCGCATCACCACCATCACATCACCACCACCACATCACCACCATCACATCACCACCACCACCAGTATCCTTCGCGGGGCCCACGGGGCCCACACGCAGGTTCGTGGACACCAACCTGACCGGGAAGCCGGGGGCTCCGGAACCAGGACACTGGCTGCGGGTGATTCAGGAGCTGCATCTCAGCCCCCAGCAGCTTGCGGACGCTGCGGCGCTGCAGTCTTGCTGGCAGGTACGACACAAATTGCAACATCTAGCGGTGGAATCGTGAATTGACCTTTGCGATGCGAAATTATTACTTTTTCTGTTTCGTTCTCTATTTGTTGGGTTCGGATTCCGACGTAATCGTTTTCAGCCTTCCGCTCGATCCCCCGCCGCCTCCACACTGCTCACCGCTCCCCTCCGTTCTTCACTTCCACCGTCACCAATATTTCACTGACGACACCGCTCATGGGCCCTCTCTGTTGGTTACTTCGCTCCTTACTTCATTCGTTTTTTGCCGCCTCTGTGTGTGTGTCTGTATGTGTTTGTATGTGTTTGTGTGTGTCTGTATGTGTATGTATGTATGTATGTATGTATGTATGTATGTATGTATGTATGTATGTATGTATGTATGTATGTATGTATGCTGTAACAGGGTGGTTAACTTTGCCAGCGGCCCCCTTTCCCGGGGCAGTCCCTGCTCTCCCCTGCTAGAGGGGCACCCTAATCCGTCACCCCATCCGACTTCAGAATGTATTCGTTGGGTTCGGCAACTCACCACCAGCATCCAACCAAATCTAGCGGATCAACGACGCATCAACTTAGTTCCTGGTTTGCTCGCAAGTTGAAATAATCACGTCCTACACCGTCCACAAGATGGGAGGCCACCTTCCAAATACCCGAGGAACCGGCAGGCGGATTTGAACCCGGGTCAGCCGGGAGCAGAAGTCATGCCTTAACCTCTGCCAGCCGCCTGTATGTGTGTATGTGTGCGTTCCTTACCTTGCTCGACGCCGCAGGACTGGCTGTCCCGGATACATGTTGAACGTCGGGACATTGCCGCCGCCCTGGACCAGCTGCTGTCCGTCAACCGGTACGGCGCGACGTACTTTGAATCTGTCGGACGGTACGGCACGGATCGTGACGTGATCCACAAGATGCACGCCAACGTGATGCGAGAGCGGATCCTGCTGGTGTTAACGGGCGAGGTGTTTTGCTGGTGAGTGGGTGGTGGTAGTGGGTGGTAGTGGGTGGGTGGTAGTGGGTGGGTGGTAGTGGGTGGGTGGTAGTGGGTGGGTGGTAGTGGGTGGGTGGTAGTGGGTGGGTGGTAGTGGGTGGGTGGTAGTGGGTTGGCCCGCATTGGCCAATGGTATGATCCACCGCAGACATTCGCATTCTGAGCTGGGATGAGGACGGAAATAATGCGAAGGGGGGTTTAATAGTACGATATGTTTTATTGACTGTTTACCTGGTTACCTAGTTGCCTAATAGATAATAGATGCGAGTGCGCGGGCAGCAGCGGGGGTTGTGGATGAGCTCATGGGCCCCGGTGGGTGGGTGCTCCCACACGGCGTATCAACACATGGATGTGTATGTGTATAAATCCATCCACGTTCATGAGTTCGTACCGACATACCGACATACCGCCGCCTCCCGAGGATGAGGACCCTTGCTTCGGGAGCAGCCTAACCCCCCGACAACCCCCTAGCCAACCGAAGGACCCCAAGTCCTGCTGCTGCTGCTGCTGCGGGTGTCACTCCAAACAACCACGCTTTCAGTTTTGCGGCACTCTTATGCCCCCCTCCTCCTTTTGGTCAGTTCTACTTCTGGTAAACTCTTGCCCTAGCAGCAGCCTCACTCGTTCGTGGTCGTCTTTCCCCCCCCATCCTCCTATCTTGCTCTGGCAGCAGCTTAAATCGCGTGTGGTTCGTCTTTCCCCATCCTCCTCCTCCTCCTCGTCCACGTTCTTGTACAAATGACCCTCTTCTCTCATCAATCCTTCATGTTCCCACACTTCACCCGCCCCCCGGCAGCCACATCCTAACTGACATTCAGTGGGCGCGCGCCATCGTGAAGTCGTATCCGTACATCCTGGATGTACGAGAGCTCGTCTGCGCGGCTTCCCAGCTCTACTATTCTTCCGTCCGGGGCCTTATGGCCCCACCCCTGTCGTGAGCTGCGAGCGGAGAGAAGTTGGATGGGTCGGGGAGAGAGAGAGAGAGAGAGAGAGAGAGAGAGCAAGTGCACGCAGCGCTGCGCTGCGCTGCAGCATGAGGACCTTTCTATTTTCAAACGTGATAAGGAGAGTGACACCGGGTGGAGGCCAAGGGTGCCAACCGCCAACCGTAAATCAATTCAGTTTTTATGGTTACAGCCAAAACCGCAAGAAACACTCTTCAACCACGAAGAGTGGCTTTGGGTGGTTTGGTAGCTGGCAGGGTGCAGTGAGGGCACTAAGAGTGAGTGGGGCGCTATGTGGTGGGCAGTAGCACCACCACAACCACGGGCAGTGAGCTCCTATGGCCGTGTTAAAAACGTTTCAGGGGTGGTGCATGTCGCTGTAAAGCACGGCTGTAGTAGTAGTAGTAGTAGTAGTAGTAGTAGTAGTAGTAGTAGTAGTAGTAGTAGTAGTAGTAGTAGTAGTAGTAGTAGTAGGGCAGGATGCATCATGAGGTGGGTGTAGATGTTGATCAGAACTCGGTGTTTAAATGAACTGAACTACGAGATGGAATTTGTGTGTGTGTGTGTGGTTGTCTGTGTTTGTGTGTGTCTCTGTTACATATTAATCCTATGTGAATGTGCCTGTATGTATGTATGTATCATACAGACATATGTAGCCTATCTATGTGGGGTATGTATCGAGGTTGAGAGTGAGTACATGGTAGATGGGGGTGAATGAAGGCGCTGTTGCTGCTGTTGGGAGGCACGAATAGAGGAGGACGCGGTGCATGGGCATGTGAATGCGCGCATCACTCTGCAACATGAAATACAGCAAAATAATACCGGCGATACACCGGTTTGTAACTTTAAAGCCTAGAGTCACACATACCGCCGGAATGCAGCTGGATGTTACTGGAAGATGGAAGTCAGGGCTTGATTAGGCAGCAGCCCTCCGCGGCCCCTTGGACAATAATATGTTGTATCCTTCGTGACCCTTAAAATCGGTACCAGGTAGATGTGCGAGAAGAGAGAGCTCTCACGGCAATCTTATTAACTCTGTCCGATGTTGCGTGGACTGAGGTTTGACTGTTTTATGTGGGTTTGGTTGCGGTTAGTCGTTGTTTTAGTTGTCTGTGCCAGCTGCACTCAATCGCTCTCAGGCTGCAAATTAAGCGCGAAGATGTACATGTATGCGCCGCATACGTGGAAATGGTTGTAACTGTACTGACGGTAACTTTAATTATTGTAACTGTACTATTTGTTCTCTCGGGAACAGTTTACATGACTCTTGCTTTCGCACAATCTTCGGCAGCGTTCTCTTAAATTTCACAAGCGGCGCAGCAAAGCTGTTGTAGCCGATTTGAACAGGCCAAACAGGCATTATGCAGCAGGAACAAGACGCAAGCAACCGCAATTCATCACAATTTAATTTACATAAAAGTAGATATGATCAGGATTGCGTGTCCTTCGACAAAGCATTTTTGGCAAGATGCGGTGCGACCAAAACCCTAAAACCGTAAACTCCCGTCGCAACATTGTGGGCCTTAATCAATAGACTTCGGCCAGGCCGCTTTAACTTCACAGGTCATAACGCCGCTCAGATAGAATACGCTCAAACCTAAAAAAAGGACGCTAGCCGTAATAGCTCAATAACCGTCATCAATAACCGGTAACTGACGAACGAGTTTTTGTTTGCATGCTTAGTTGATAGGAACGGGTGGTTAACGTGTACATGTTTCCAGCGTTTCGGTGCGCGGTCCCGGGCTGCAAAGTTAGTTACTAGGGCCTAGAAGTCAGGAAGGAATGACCACGTAAAAGATGCGATTGAGGGCCATTGTAGACAGTGCCGTAATGTTGCCTTCACGCTGCTTCACGGTCCTCCCGATAAAGCAAAGGACGACGTAATCGAGCAAGCGAATAGCCGTAGGGCACACAACCTCCCGCACACACCTTTGGATAGCGGGTAGCCGATCGCCCAGCTAGGAATGGCACAGGGTAGTAGCATCCTTGCTGGTCTTGCAGCATCACTTCGTTTCAACAACGCCGCCTGCGACAACGCAGACCTTACTTATGTCTGTACATCTCCTTGAGCAGCTTCTTCTGTTTGCTCGTTAAGGTACGACCAGGCTCGCAACAACTGCGCGAAACTGCAGCTGCGTCCAGGCTCCGAGGTATGCCGCATGATGGGTTGCGCTTCAATCACATAAAATGCCTTTGTTATTTATAAGCTTCTTTCTCATCCATATTTGCACTATATTCGAGTATCTATCGGAAAAGGAAATCGGAATTAAATATTTAAGCCACACAGAGAGCCATAGAAGCTGCGTAGCGAAGCAGAGAGTATTTTCATCAAGAAATCACTGAAAAATAAGTTAAAATCAATCCAGCAATATTTAACAGGAGCATGGGCGATATGGCGACTGCTGGCTTGCTATATGTCACTGTCGAGTACGCCACCGACCTTCGGCTACGCCACCGTCGCCGCAGGTGTTTATCGCGGCTACATGCGACAATGTTTAATAAATTCAATAAGTTGCTCTTTTTCGGACCTTCTACACAATAATGATTCTTGAACAGTATATTTCAAAACCATGCACGCGAACTCGCAAAGCTCGTCGCAACTATGTGCCGTCGTCCTAGGGCATACTTTGGACCACGCAATTATTACTGCAATGATTTACCTTTCTCTCGACCTGAGACCTCATCACCTCATCCGACCAAAACACCCTTGACCTCGGGGACTTGGCATCAGCATCTACCTTCCCGATAAGCCGCTAGGCCGAGGCCCGCACACGTACCTGTCAAACCCGTCCCACGCTTTCCGCACGCCCCGCACCCCCCGAACCTTTACATGTGGCTCCTTCTACTTCCGGCCTGAGGCACGATCTGAGCTGCGTCGTTTACGTCGGGTCGCGGTCGGCTGCGACTCAACCTGCAGCTAACTGCGGCAGCCATCCCGTCTGGAACCAGACCTTTCAGTTCCTTTTGGCTGAGGATGACGACCGTCTTGAGGTCGAAGTGCAGGTACTATAATTTGTGTGGTTGTGTTTTTGAGAAACTCACAAGCTGTAATCGTAGCGCTACAACGCTATAGCATCGACCACAGCCTTCCACTGCCGTACCCGCCTTCCGTACGTGCTTCGCTATATTTGCGCCGCTGTATGTGCGTGCTACTGCCTCCCGAGATCTTCATGGGCGTCTGCCCCTTTTTCGAAATCCACTGAAAAATGTGAATGCCGGGCTGCTACGGGCGCTGTCCAGATAGATGTCGCGGGCATGATCATCCCTCCCCTCCCCACTCCCACCGCCTTGCGGCCCCCGTGCTGCCCCCTCCACCCGCCATTCCACAGCATGCCCATCCACGCTTGCTCCACCCTCACTTCCGCCGCCACCGCAACCGCCCGCAACCGTCACAGGATAGCTACAGCTGCAGCGGCCTGCGGGACGGCCACGCCGCCCACCGCACCGTCGTGCCCCTACACGGAGTCCGGGCCGCCCGCAGCGAGCGCGTGCAAGTGCCGCTCTTCACCCAGCGCCGTTCCACTCGCCTGCAATGCGGATCCATCGCACTCGCCCTCGCCTTCTGGCCCCCGGGCACCTTCACCTTCCATCCCCATCCCAGCTCCGTGACCACCACGCCGACCAGTAGCCCTCAGGGTAACGCATTCACCTCGGCCCCAGTTACGACCCCGGCTCTAGGTCAGCCAGGCGCCGGGAGTGCCCCGGCAGCGGATGACGAGGTTGGCGGCAAGTCGGGGGCAATGGGACCGTCGATGCCTTTGGAAACCGTATGCCTTGGGTTGCCTGTGGCCGCCGGGCACTTCCCTTTCACGGCCGCGGTGGCCCGGGTGCCGGTGTACCAGGTACCGCACAGCGGTCACCGCCGAGCGCAGCAGGACAGCTCTTCCCGAGACGGTGCACAAGGGGAGCTGTGTGCGATGCGGGGGATGAGGGACGAGGGGTTGGGGGCGGTTGCGGAAGCTGGGGTACCCACGCAGCCCCAGCCGCAGCCGCAGCTGCTGCAACAGCAGCAACAGCAGCAGCAGTCGGCAAAGAAGGTGGTGTTGTAGTGGTATTAATGGAGAGGGTGAGGACGATGGCGACGAAGGGACACCATCTCTCTGGGCAGCATGGTAGCTGAGCTGGACATGGCGGTGTTCGACAATGGTCAAATATTACAAAAGTCGACACGTGCACGTGTCGTACATATGTACTGCAGCAACTACCAGCTAGTGAGCTTGGGCGCCCAGAATCTGCGGCCTCCCGGCTGTCTTACGGGGGGAGGGAGGGAGGAGGTTACGGAGAGGCAAAGTGAAGGTGGAGGGAGCCCGGGAAAGGGCTAGGTTAGCTTTTAGGGATATTGGCTGCTCGCTGCTTAGGTCCCTGTACACAGCGCCCCCGTTCGCGAGCTGCCAATACCTAACATATACACACCGCCATCCTCCACATATCGGGAGGGCAGATCATTAAAATACACCGTAGGCAGGCGGCGTACCGTACGACATACACCGTAGGCAGGCGGCGTACCGTACGACATACACCGTAGGCAGGCGGCGTACCGTACGACATACACCGTAGGCAGGCGGCGTACCGTACGACATACACCGTAGGCAGGCGGCGTACCGTACGACATACACCGTAGGCAGGCGGCGTACCCGTAAATTCCGACTCGCGTGCTTATGTGTGTGAGAGTGTACAGTACACAGCTTGCGGTATTCGTAACCTTGGAGAGATTCTGATGTTCCGGATGGCGGCAGTTAGCTGAATATAATCGCAGTTGATCATGTACGCGGTGGCATATGTACGAGGAGAGATGGGGACGGGACGTCGGATGTGGCTGTGGGCTGTAAGGGTATACCTCTTGTGTGCGATTGGCGAGGATGTTTCTGGAAGCTGGAGGGTTTCGGATTGGATAGGGAGACCGGGACGGCAACAGTGAGTGCGTGTGTGTGTGTGTGTCTGGCGTGTACGGTCTTACGGGCCTTGCGAGCTTGCTTGCAGAGAACAAGAAGCAACATCAGCTGATAGGATGGTCCATAGACTGCATTGTATATTCCAGCTGCCTGGTAGCGTGTGGATCTGAACGGGAGTACTCGTTGTGTGTGAAAGGAAGTCGGTGCCTTGTTAGGCGCTGTGCGTGTGTACACACGCGCGCGCGCGTCTGTGTGTGTGTATGTATATGTGTGTGTGTGGCTGTGCGTATGTGTGTATGTGCAGGCACCCGAGGGTTATATCCCGAGGGTTCCGGAGCAACTGTCTTGGGTGCTTTGTGACGCTCTTAGGACAGAGCCTCTTGACGAGATTCAGTGTTCCGCTCTGGGGCGGCCCTGGGCTTGCTTTGCTCGATTACCTCATTTTACCGCTCGATGTGCGGGACGCCCTGGTGTCCTTTCCTTCAGTGGTTCGTACTGGTACCCTGTGGTCGCATCCTGTAGAGAGCTGCAGTGTCGCATCCTGACAGACAGGGTCCGCAGCCCTGGTGGTTAACAATGTGCCGCAAGGAAACCTTCCAAGGTGGGCGTGATGCTCCGTTAATCGGGAAGTCCGATGAAAGAGATGGAAAGAGACGCGACTGCAAGTAAGCCTGGCTCGAAGTCGTGCAACTGACAACTGGTGCAACTGAGACACCTGAGTCTCGGCTGCTTGCGACGAGGCAGGTGTTTGGTTGTCCAGTACATGTGAGGTCGAATGGCCCTATCTCCAACATCTCCAGCCGCTATCTTTTCCGCTCACATCTCCTCTGTTGCAGCTCTTAACAAACATTCTCCTTTAACCTCTCTTCCTTCTCCTCCTCCTGTCGCCTACGAAGCAGTGTCGCCAGCACACGTAGAAGAGGTCGTAGGTCCGGTCATGGCGACATACCGTTTAGTATGTTAAATGTGTATGTACATTTGCAACGGTACGGCCGCTTTACAAGAACTGGAGCTGCCTATATGCACCAAGGACACCTACAATAGACACCTGCACACGCGCGTACACAGCTGCTATGGTTTCCTGGCCTCAGCTGCAGAGCCGAGGCTACACTCCGCTCGAGGCTACTTCCCGCAGGTAGCCGCCATGCGAGGTGGCCGGCATGCCTCGTACCCATGACTTTCTCCATCACATGCAATTTTGCAAAATCACCAACAAGAAGAGGTATTGTCAGCAACACATTCCATTCAATAAACGCACGCACACACACACAGACATACACACGCACACACAGACGCATGAACCTGAGCATATGTAACATCAGCAGTGAGGGAGACAACAACCCAACCGAGCAAGCACAGTCTCGTGACGCACCACCGGACGTACGGCAAGGTACACATCCGTACGAAGCAGCGTGTCGTGGCGCCAAAGTCAAACCGAGCTATGCTATGTCAAACCGCCTGGACGACCTATCGGCCATGAGCCTTCTCCTCCTCCTCCACCGCCGCCGCCACCGCCGCCTCCTCCTCCTGGAGCGGACTTCTACTTGCGGCTCTTCTTGTGTTTGGCGCTGCCGCTGCTCTTACGCCTGTCGCCGCTCCGTTTAGACCGACCTGAGGAGCCGCATGCGGACCGTGTTAAGAGAGGAAAAAGTGCTGGCATGTGCGCTTGTATGGAGAGGAAACAGAGTAGGCCCAGGACCCGCTTAGCCAACACATCAAAGCTACACACAACAAAACATGCTGAACGCACCACACCGGCAAATACTACCCTCTCCCCCTGGAAAGCAAAAGCACCAAATAGCCAACCGATCAAGACGGCCAGGCACGACAGATAAACTGAAGTGAGGCCCATGCTAGACAGCAGCACACAACTTGTGCACACGAAACAGGCGAACGAACGGGTGCAACTACCACACACAAAAAAAAAGAACAACAACAACAACAACAAGAATAACAACAGCAGAGCACGTCATCACGCGTTCATGGTGAGGACGGCCTCAGCGTCCTGAACGCCGAGGGCGCCTCCAGAAACACCTTTTCTTTTGCTCAATCAGTGATGGGCAGCTCCTTGGCCACCTTTTCGTACCTGGGGCACCAGACAAGTCACTTTCGCGGGTACCAAAATCCATATCCGATTCACTGCCACTTTCCGAGGAGGAGGACGAAGACGAAGACGAGGAAGAACTCGCACGCCGGCGCTTCTCCTTGCCCTTCTCTCGCCGCCCTGTTTCCTTGTTGTCACGATTCTTAGTCTTGTCCTTGGCTCGGTCCCGCTCACCACCGCGTTCCGACTCCGTATTCCGGTCCCGGCCCTTGTCCTTGCCTTGCTGCTTGCTGCCTTCTGCATCTTTGCCACTGCCACCACCACCACCACCACCACCACTACGGGCCTTACCATCACGAGGGCCCTTATCCCGACCCGGATGGTCCCCATCCTGATGACGATCTCGGTCATCCCTTTTATCGCGACCCTTCGTCAACACGGTGTCATCCCGGCCCCCTCGTTCCCGCCTCCCATCTCGCTCCTGTTCTCGCCCCCGCTGCTGATCACGACCCCGGTTCCCGTCCTTGTCTTTATCCCTCTTCGCCTTGCCACCATCGGCAGCACGCGGCGTCCGACCGCCACCATGCCGCTCCAAACTCCGCTCGCGACCTGATGGGCTACGAGAGGAGCGCCTGGAGTCCAGGCGGTTGTCACGGCGGTTGTCCCGGCTCCGAGATCGTCGTCGTCGGTCGCGACTTGGGCTCCGGCTGCGGCGCTTGGTGTCGCGCTCCCGGGCCCTATCGCGGTCTCTGTCTTTTCCGCCCTCGCGATCCCGGGTTCGATCCCGATTGCGTGCAGGTGACCGCGAGGGGGAGCGGTCTCGACGACGGTCTCTGTGCGCAGGGCCGGGCCCAAGCAGCCCAGATACCGCACGTGGCAGGCAAGCAACAATCATCATCCCCTTCCCACCGCCGAGATCATGGGGCGACAACACGCGAAACAGGTCGACACGGTGCGGCGGAAAAGCTAAAGGAGTGAGGTGGGGTGATGCTGAGGCTTCAGCGACCCCCCAGGGGGAGGCCTTTCGGGTACCCCCGCTGGTCCTCAAAGTGCGGTGCTCACCCCCTCCCCGCCTTCTACTTCTTCCTTCTCCGCCTCCTCCCCCCCAGCTATAAATTAGGTTCCTTATCTAACTCGGAGACCAGTTGTCAGTTGGCACCTATTAGAGCAGTTTCCAGCGCACGCACACACATTCGGCCCCGCGCCGTTCCGTGAACACACCTGCTGCGGCTCCGGCTGCGGCTGCGGGAGGCAGAACGCGACGGGTGTCTCCTGGCGGTACCTCCTCCTCCTCCTCCTCCTCCTCTCCCAGCATGTTCAACCCTTCGACCCGCCCGACTCCGCGACCGTGACCTCGACTTTGACTTTGACCGATTTCGGCTGCGACTGCGGCTGCGGCGGTGATCCCTGCATGTGTTGTATGGCCCGGGGCCAGCGGATGTAATGCCGGTCAGACCAAACCGCAGATGGGGAAAACGAAGGCGAGGAGTTAGCAGGCGGAAGGGAAGTACGGATGGTGGGCACTGCAGAAGAAAACCCACCAGATTACCCCAGGTTAGGTGCTGACAGAAATAATGCCAACAAGACACAAAACACAAAGAAACAGCTCCGAATGTGACGGAAATAACTCCAACAGCAATTGTGGATAGAAATGCTGCGGCATTAGTTACCAGCAAGCAGGAACCGCATTGTCACAGCATCAGGGCGGTAACGGCCGGAACGACGAACCACGAACCCGCGTGAAGCTGCTGCCAGGGCAAGAGTGTACAAGAAGCAGAACTGACCAGTAGGCGGTTTTGAAGACGGCGAGGAGGGAAAGACGAACCACACACGATTGAAGCTGCTGCCAGGGCAAGAGAGTAGCAAACGTAAAAACTGACCGAAAGGCGTCCGTGGCGACTGTGACGACTGTGACCTCGGGATGAAGTGACGTTGATGTCGGAAATCCTACCTACCTAAGCCGCCAGAATTTAAAAGCTGAATTGTATAGCCAATCCGTAAAGAAGTAGGTGTAAAAAAGTAGTAGTGAAGGCGGCGAGTAAAATAGTGCTGTCGTAAAAGGTGGCGTAAAGTTGCTGGCCAGGAGAAAAGGCTGATTTGCTGATACTGAAAGGCTGTCGGTATGCAAGTGCTCCTCCCAACCCCCGGCGAGGGGGGAAAGTGCAGTGGGGTTCCGTAAACTGCCCATGCAACAGCAGCGGCACTTATCAATGTGAATCACCGCTTTAGTGAATTATATGTGTGCCGCAGCGGAAGCGATGTTACTTGTTGGTGACAACATTCGCGAACAGAGCGGCATCGGCATGACCCATGGACAGCCCCTGTTACCTCCCCCCAACCTACCTGCTTCGACTCCGGCTGCGGCTGCTACGACTGAAGCTCCTGCTGCTGCTGCTCCTGCTGCTCCTCCTCCTCGGCGAGTCCGGACGTCGCCCCCGTCCCCCCTCCTCCTCCTCATCATCATCATCATCACTTCCCCCCCGCACGGGATGGACCGCTGTCGCGGACTCGCTACCTGGCTTACCGCCACCACCGGCGGCCGCCGGCCTTTCCAAAACAGCTGATGCCGCCGCCGCCGTCGTCCCAGGTTCCGGCGGGGCCGCGTCAGGCCCCGCAGCCCCATTTTGCTGCGGCAGCTGCGGCCCGGAATCGGCGGGCCCCTGCGGGCCCCTGTCCTGCTGAGCCGCCAGCTGGTCCTCCGTCGCCGTCACTTTGCGGCCCTCGGCCACCAGGCTGTACCGCACAGCATCGCCTATGATGGGTTATGCGTGTTTTTACGAATTGAGAGGTAGGCAATTGAGTCGGGTAGGACTCACATACATCACCACGGGCACCCCCACCCCCCACCCCACCACCATCTGACCCCCAGGACTCCCGTACATCGCGACGAAACCTCACCGCCCCAACCCACGACATTCTTGTCTGCTGTGCTGCCCCATAGTCGCGTTGCATGCCACCATCTCCACTCGCCTTGCTCCCGCCTCCAGGCCCCCCAGCAATACCGCCCTGATGGGTTGCCGTAACCTGCACGCCTGTCGCCTCAAACACCCATTACCCGTCCCCCGTTTCCGCACGTGACATGTACTCCCCCCTATTTGTTTTGGAAGAGGGATACTCGGCAAATAGGTAAGCTATTGTTTCCCCCCTCCTCCCCCCCCCCGCACCCCGCCCTCCCAACCGCGCACCTAGAGCTGAGGCCGGCAGCACCGCAATCACCTTGGCCGGCAGCCGGGAACCATCATCGCGCAACAGCCACACACTGTCCGGAGCCAGAGACGCGACACAAGACGACACGTTGGCGAGACGGGGGTTTGCGAGACGGGGGTTTGCGAGACGGGGGTTTGCGAGACGGGGGTTTGCGAGACGGGGGTTTGCGAGACGGGGGTTTGCGAGACGGGGGTTTGCGAGACGGGGGTTTGCGAGACGGGGGTTTGCGAGACGGGGGTTGCGGAGAGAGATTCGAAAGAAGCACCACCATGCCAACCGTGCAAGATTCCGATATCGACGCGGACGGGGATGTCGTGACTCAATGCGGAAAAAAAAGAGAATTTTGACGACAGAATGGCGACACAGTAACGGCACTGGAGACGTCAGCCTCTCAACAGAGGATTGCCCCTCAAAGGGATGTCGCCGTTCAACAAGGATTGCCAGGGGGCAACCACTCTCGGCCGTGCATGCAGTCCCCATCGCCGACCTCCCTCCACTCGTGATTTTCCCTCCCCTTGAATCTGCATCCCTCCCCCCTCTCCCTGCCTCTCCCCCCTCCCCTACTACCTTAACCCCCTCCCCGATGTCCAGCGCAGGTCGTGA